CAAATAGCTGCCTGATCTGAGAATCCACACCTGAGATACAGCGTGCTAAAGTTTTATCTCGTGTCAGCTATTCTCAAATCCAGAGATGAGCTCCAGGCATGCGGCAGGTTAGTCTGTCTCGAAAAGGGGTTCCTGCACCTTTGGAAAGCTGAGTGCTCTCAAGCCCCAGGTACACACAGAGGCCCCCTTCAACCGTCCCTCCAAATAGAGATCTACGTGGAGGGTTAGGGGACTGAGCGATACCGTTGAAAGATTGACAGGATCTTGGCACAGTACCAATCTAAGGAAATTAAAGTATCTCCCGGTCAGGCGCTCTAGGTGTAAAATGAGCCCAGATGATTCCCAGAGATAAAGTCCAGCTGGGAAGCAGAGCAAGCTTCCGAGTCCCTCGCAGTGACATAATCCTCTTTTAGGGACTCTTGAGGCCAAGTCCATGGGAAGGAGGATGGCCTTAAAAGGGCTGTGGCACAGGAGCTTCCATCACAGCCATCTTTAATTATTTTGTCCAATAAGAACTCATTTGTCTAAATTTATTTTTAGCCCATGTTCCATGAGCTTCGTGAGCACAGTTTCCACCACTGTGCATCCAGCCACTAACGTAAGCCAGAAGGCATTTAATACCTGGAATTCCTACTAATAATTTGCCCATAGTGCACTGCTAGATGCCCGGTGCAGATGCAATTTCAAATACAATGTGTGTATTTGGGGATAGCCCCTTGTGTATGTTAATAGGAATTTCCTAGAGTCTGGATGAACAAATTCATTAAGTCGATCTTTGTAAATTGCAGTCTTCTAGTCAAAGAAGCAAAAATATCCTCCACTCTTGGCATAGGTTTGTATCGATGGCCAATTATGCATTTAGCACCATGCAAAAATCCCCACAAATCGTCATGTCTCCATTCTTCTTGCAAACTGGAACTATAGGGGATGCCCAATCACTTCCCTAAACCTGCATAATGATTCCAAGCTCTTCCAATCTACATACCTCTGCTTCAACTCCTGTTTGCACTGCAAAAAGAACCACTGTTGCTTTTAAAATAAATTAGGTACTGCCCCTTTCTGCAGTGTCATCAAAAACACGTGCAAATATACGTTTCAGCTGGAGTCTGAAGAAACTGTACACCATTGCATGGCATTTTGGCTACAGTCAGCATTCCTAGCACTTGGATCTATTCCTTGAAAAAACTGTGTTGGAATCTCAAATGGCAAGATACAAAGGGGCAATGTTGCAGAATGCTTTGGTAACTGTACAGAAACACACCCAACTGATTTTTACAATTCACTTGAATAAGTCTGTAAGTACATTTTAGTAGGGGAAACTGGTACAAATAGGTGTAGGGTTCTCCAATCGTGCAGGTTATTAATGGACACCCCTGTGTCCAAGATGTCATGAAGTCTTTGGCTTGTACTTTAACAGAAACATTGAAAGCAGCTTGTCTTGACTTTCGTATGTGTAATATCTATATATCTCAAGACTCCTGTACTTGCACTCTGTAAGCGTGCTTTCTCTTTGTCATGATCAATGTCTAGACCTGTTTTGGATTCTCTTGCCAACAGATTGCAAATGTCCTTAACATAGGCATGACATCTAGCTTCACTGAATCTGCAAGTGGAGGCTTCATGTGATGTTGCACCCCAGCGATGACAGTGAAAATGTCCCTTCCTAGCTGAAACTTATGATACTACAGTCCATCAATAGCTTCTTTAATATGGGCTCACTAGGCAGCCCCATTATGAACTGGTGTGTTAAGTGCTGTTGGCAAATAGTCTTCAAATCAGCAAGTACTTTTAAGTTTAATTAGGGAAACATTGGCAGAAATGGACTCTTCTTGTTTCTTATGTCTCTTGAAAAACTTGAACCTTTCATCAATTTCTATAGTGAGACTTTGAGGCAGGAGTCTCTGGATGCAGGTGTTCATGTAAGTTATCACAGGCTCTTGCATCCAGAATAGTCCTCAATAGAGACACCATTTGCTTAGTTTCAGGAACATCATTAGCTGTCTTGAATTGTTCCAACCACTCCACCTATGAAAACCAGGAATTGGGGTCCGATTCAAAGTCTCAAACATCTAAATAGCAGGTTCCACAGCCTCGTCATCATTTTAGTATTTTCCCATTGACTTAATGAATAACTTATGACAAAGTGGTAAATAAGCAGAGCTTTATTTACTTGGATTTTTAAAAACCCTTAATATGGAGGCAGGGAAATACTTAGTGCTAGTAGGTACATAATTTACAGCCTCAACGCTTACATATTACACTGTATGACATATACCCAGACAGGAACCATTAGCATTACTTCCTAGAGCAGTGTCCTCATGGTAAATCCCCTGTACTCTGTTTCCAGCTCTCCAGGCAAAACATGCACAATGCCTGCAGTTAAGGAAATAATTCTGCAGCACCCCACAGAACAGCAACACATTACAAAAGTTTTAAATAGCCCCCTTGCTCTAGGTATTTTAGGTGGTACCGGAAGACGGACGATAAGTTCAGGTGATGGCAATGAATGATAACCTGGGACAGTGCACCCAGGCTTGATATATTGTGGCTTGGTGTACTGTTAGCACTAGACCTCTGGTTACTAATTTCTCTATCAACACAGCAACATTTCTGTCCAGAGGGATTTTTGATAAACCTCTGAGTTCATCAAACATTTCTTCAATTCATAATTGCAGGTCATGAGGTGGAAACTCTGCATGCTCAGTCACATCGGACATACAGAGCAAATCCAATACATTGATGAACTGATGTTTAAGAACTTGTCTAGCCTACATACACTGATGTAAAGCAGAGTTAATACTTTTTTAGATTAACTGGAATGTCAGTGCTGAGCTAAGCTAATGACTAGACTCGAATTTCCACAATTCAAATTTCCACTAATTTCAAACACTCCTGATGGATGCAGACAAGTAGTAGTGTTGCACACCAGTATCTGTACCAGTGAAGAGTCACAGGCTGCACAGCATAGGGTGAACCAAATAGTTTTATTGTGGAATATGTGACAAAACACCCATGATGAATGGTTTTAGAAGAGAAGGTTCTACTTGTATGGTGTGCCTACAATGTCAAACGGTTCCTAGGCTGTAATGTAAGAGGCGGTGTTTACAAACACTCCACATCCCAGCATGAGTGGCTTGGTGTGTTAGTCCCTGCACACAGCCGATCTTTGTGAGAATGGCTGAAATATAAATACTTTTGTTGAGATTTCTTTTTGTTTCCATACGGCCACCTTCTTTTGACCCTTTCTACTTGTGCTCGGAATTTAATATGTAATGGATAATGTCAGAGATAAAAGTTGGTTGTGGTGTGCCGAAACCAACGTCAGAGTGGGCCTATAAATAAAAGAGGGCAAAGAGAAGTTCAAAAAAACACACTTTATTGCATTTGATTACATGACTAAATTCCTGAAGGCTTGGCGAAGTTCTCTTTCTGGCCGTGGAATATACGTATTGTATATAGAGGACTTCCAGCGGCCCAGTCTCTTTATGATGTGGACTGGGGTTTTAGTGCTAGAAGCTGATGAAGCAGCTCCTATGCGAAAGGAATGCCCGGAGAATGAAGTTGGGTTGTAACCCAATTTTCCCAGTAAGGTTCTGACATATGTGGTGAATTTTGCTGTAGTGAGTGGGTGCCCTTGTAGTTGTAATAGTGGTGAGTCTGGTAGGTGTGTGCTATAAGCTGACCTTAACATATCTAGTGTCTTAACTGGACACCAAGCATTGTCTGTTGGAAAGAGAGGAATAATAGTGGGGTGTAGAGACTGATTTGTTTTGGTAGATGGGATTGTGAGAATGTAATAGTCGTCTTTTTTAGTGAGTTGTGAGGTTTTGAGGATGTGAGTGACAAATGACAGTAAATTCCCTAGGTCTTAAGAACCTAGATTGCAGATTTGATCACCAGGTTAGTGTTGGGAGGAGGTTGCTCAGTAATCTAAAGATAGGCCCATCTATAGGTAGTCTGGTGGTGATAGGTGGAACTGATACTTTAGAGATCCCCTTTAAGATTTTCTTTATGGGGTATGATGATAAAAAGGGGGTGTTGTTAGGGAAATTTGTGAGGCTGTGGTGCTGCACCCCTGTGAGGTATAATTTAATGGTGGTGTGGGAAAGTTTTAAATTTAAATGGCAAAGAGAGGCAAAAGCCACCATAGTTTGGGTTGGGAAATCACCTTGTAATCCGAATTCAGGTGTAAATTTGTTGAAAATGGTGAGTGCCCTACTGTAGGTGATAGTAGTGTTTGGTGATAGTGCTTGGTGCGTAAGTGTCCTAGCGTGGTGCATAAGTGTATTTAATCCAAGATTAGCTCGTGAAAATTCGGTTTTCTGGATGATTGGTGGTGGGCTGACGGGAGTGCCTGGAAAAACACCTGAAATTGAGATCGAGACAGAGCGTCAGCAGCCGTGTTGTGAATACCCGGCCTGTGAAGGCAAATTAGGTGGAACTGGACGGTTGAGGCCAACCAGGTCAGCTTGCGAATCAGCCGCATAATAGTAAGAGAGGATGCGCAAGCTGACGAGCTGTCGGAATAACACTTTACTGCCTTGCCGGACCAGAGGTGACCCCAAGTGTGTGCGGCTGCCACAATGGGGTAAATCTTAAATAGGGCTGAAGTTTCTCTAAACCCCGGCAAGGCATCCGTCTCGGCTGGCCAGTGACCCCTAAACCTAAACCAGTGATTACCAAATATAGCTGCAAAACCCGTGTTGGCTGCAGCGTCAGTGTAAATGCAGGGAGAGGAGTCTGAGAGGGGGGGAATAAACATGGAGATACCGTTCCATAGGGACAGAAACTGCCCCCACATGATTAGGTCAGCTTTGGCGTGCTGGTCTAATGCAATTGGGCAGGCGTCCGGTACCCCGTGAAGCAGACAAAGGAGCCTGGACACACAAGATCTGCCCTGCGGGACGATGCGCATTGCGAAATTCAGGGACCCCAATAAGACTGAAGTTCTTTCCTGGTGCATACATCGCTCCGCAGGAACATGTCTATTTCCCCTCTAAGGCGGATGAGTTTTTCAGTGGGAAGGCTGGCGCGGAAGGTAGCAGAGTCTAGCTCTATGCCCGAGAAAGTGAGTTTAGTGGTGGGGCCAATTGTTTTAGTGGGAGATAACGGTACCCCGAGGGTGGAGAAAAGTGCAGAGGTGCTGAGGATATCGGTGGGTGTGCGTGTGCTAGGTTCTATGATGAGGAAGTCATCCAAGTAGTGAATGATGGCGTGACACATAATAATGTTCAGAAGCAGCCAGCATAGTGTTTCCGCGAAAATATCAAAGAGTTTGGGGCTGCTTCTGGAACCGAAAGTGAGGCGCGTGGAAAAATAGTACCTGTTTCGCCATTTAACACCGTGCAAGTGCCAAAGTTATGGGTGTATGGGCAGTAGTTTGAAAGCGTTGGTAATGTCTGTTTTGCTAAGCCAAGCGTTGCTGCCAATTGATATGATGGATTGTATGGCGTCGTCTATTTTAACGTATTGTAGTGAGAATTCGTCTGCGGGAATGACTGCGTTGGTGCTAGGAACAAAAGAGGAGTGCGGTGCCGATAAATCAATAATCATACGTTTTTTATTTGAATATTTGTGTACAGCTATACCGATAGGGTTAGTGCGCCAGGAGGAAAACGGTGAGGAGGTGAAGGGGTCGATCATGAACCCTTGAGTTATTTCTGTGGGAGGAGAATGTCCGTGGCCTCCGGGTCTAGACAGGCTGATAGGAGATTAGGGCATTCCAGTATCCCTGAGGGGATGGCCACTAGACCCGTGTAAAAACCCTGGGTAAACCCTGTTATTAGATACTCCACCAGATGTTTACTTGGGTGATCTTTAAAGTAAAAGGCCAGGTTGTCGATATTAACGTCATTTGTTAGGGGACAACCTGGCCGGACACTTGGTCTTAGTGTGTGCCCTGAAACAGATGGAGCAGATGTGCAACAATCTACAAGCGCTGAAGCTGCAGGAACCTGCATTGAAGTTGTTGCACACCTGCGCCTTCCCCAAAAAGGAGATGGGCCTCCCTAGTTTATCCCTCTGTCCGCCTTCCTGTTTAGGGTGAGGAGTGGAAGAGGATTGAGGGGTGGGAGTGGGGGTGGATGGGTCAGCCATAGAAGTGCACAAATCAGCCAAGTGGGTTGAGGAATTGCATATGGCGCAAGACGGGGGCCTCAGACCAGCGAAGTGGCGACAGAATAGTTCTGTATCCATCTGACACCAGTTAATTCTTACATTAAACTGTTTCAGATGGGTCGCCGCTTTCGCGGATATCGATTTATGATAATCGTAAAAAGATGGGCCCCCGTACTTAACGCCCAAATCCACCACTTTATGGAGATAGAGGTCCAGTTCCTCTCTCCTGTGGGGATATACCGAGCAGATGACATCCCGGTATATCCCGAAGGCCAACACGAAATTGGGAATTGACAACTTTTTGTTGAGCCTTGGGTCTCCTAAAATTATAAGCCCTGCTCTCCAGTACGTCTTGGGAGGCAATAAGTAATGACACCAGAGACACATCCTTCCCATCTAGGATTTCCTTCCTAATGGAGTCTGGGACAGAGTGAGCTGGTGACACGAAAGGCGACATGACTGGAGCAGGAGCTGGAGGGGGAAGTGTAGGGACGGGTGTTGGTGCCATAGGTACAGCCGGGATTGGGGCTATATAAACAGGAAGGTTACCTGGGGAGGCTATGGCACTTTCCACCTTGCTTAACCTGCTGTTTAAGGTCTGCAGGTTGGCCAGGATTGCCACAAGGGTGTCCTGGGTGGCAATGCCAGCGCCAGAAGCTTGACTTTGAGAGCTTGTGCCTGGCCTAGGCTCTGGGGCTTGGTTGGTCAACAGTCTGTATAATTCCGCCTTTCGGGCCGTAGCCGGAATGGGGATGCCCCTGAGCCTAAGTTCGGCCGTGATTTTAGGTATAGTCCATGCTCTCAAAGACGTAGGGGTAGAAGGGGCGAGAGATACTCCTGGAGACTCTGGTCTGATAGGAGTTGATATTATATCCTCATCAGGTACTTCGTCCATGGGAGATGTGTCTTGCGACATTCTAGAAATGAATTAAATGAGTTGGGTTTAGTAGGGGCGTCTGAGACACTATTTCAAGGGGTGGGGGGGGAAATTGCTTATGTGAACTGGGCTTTAGGATTAATGCCGAAGTGAAAAACTTAACTTAGACTAGTGACGGTTGAGGCCCTGCTAATGCCAAGTGGCGGTGAGAGGCTCTATCTATGATTTGGGCGAAGTGGATTATGTTGCCACAGATGTGGTGGCAGGATGTTGGCCTCTCGGTGACATTTAAAAGGTTCAAATGTGTGGCCATGACAAGTGAGGCCCTGACTACGGCCCTGTAGAAGAGCGAATGAGGCGATTAACTATGATTTGGGCGTAGGGCCATACCTCCGTGTTGAGGTTTGGGAGATGGTTTGTAAATGCCTCGGTGAGCTAAGTCTGACGTTCAGACCCTGTGAGCCAGTTCACGTAACAACTATGGGATAAATTGGCGTTTATGTGCTGGTAGGATACTAACCTTGATAGAGATTATACCCGTGGACTTGTTTCTTCAAGTATATGAGAGAGAGGTCCAGTGGTTGGTGATTTCGTAGCAGAAGCCTAAGGGGTTTGAGACAGATGTAGATCTGAGTGAGCGTGGCGAATGGGCGAAATATGAGTTAATGGGGGGCATGGACGGGTAAAACGAGTGGCAAAATGGACCGTGAAGGCTGTCTGAGGCCTTACATGGGAACTGCAGTAACGTACTGAAGATTGAAGAAAACTATACCTGGATATAAGGTACAAAATAGCATGGTTTTCCTCCGAATTTAGACGAGGCAAGCTGTTGATGCTATCGTAGTAGAACCTAAGGGTTTGAGACAGATGTAAATCTGAGTGGGCGTAACGTATGAGCGCAGAGTGAGTTGACAAATGTAAATTGTTGGCTGCCTGAGTTTCCTCAAACAGAAATTAAGGTAAAATAAATACTATACCTGGATTAAAGGACAAGAATCAGGTTTTGAAATATAGAAATAGCAACACGGTTGGTGCTAGCGTAGAATGGAAACCTGGATTTATGGATAAGAACCCCGTTTTTTTTTTTTTTATAGCAATTTAAGCCATAATATGGCAAAGTGTGATCTGTGGAGATCAAGAGATTATTTAACAGGGCTGAGATTAATTTGCACGTTAAGGGATCGTATAACATTGTGTGATTAGTCATTTAGTTGCAGGGAAGCTGCATATTATACAGAATAAAACAGCAAGTACCATGAAACCACTAAGTGGCGATGTCAGCCCAATAAACTAGGTCTGTGAACTGATACACGAAATATACATATGTCGTGCATAATATTTGCAGGGGAAATACAATTAAAGGACCACTCTAGGCACCCAGACCACTTCAGCTTAATGAAGTGGTCTGGGGGCCAGGTCCTTCTAGGGTTAACCCATTTTTTTTATAAACATAGCAGTTTCAAAGAAACTGCTATGTTTATGAATGGGTTAAGCCTTCCCCCCATTCCCTCTAGTGGCTGTCTCATTGACAGCCACTAGAGGCGCTTGCGTGCTTCTCACAGTGAGAGCATGCAAGCGTCCATAGGAAAGCATTGTAAATGCTTTCCTATGCGACGGGCTGAATGTGCGCGCAGCTCAGCCCAGGAGGAGGAGAGGAGGCAGAGAGCTCCCCGCCCAGCGCTGGAAAAAGCTAAGTTTTAACCCCTTTCCAGAGCCGGGTGGGAGAGGGTCCCTGAGGGTGGGGGCACCCTCAGGGCACTATAGTGCCAGGAAAACGAGTGTTTTCCTGGTACTATAGTGGTCCTTTAAACAGAGTAAGACAGAAAATACCATAAGAACCACTAGGTGGCGATGACAGGCCAAACTGGGTATGTGATTTAATACAATGAACAGAATGAATGAAATTTTTTAGTAGACAATAATTTGCTTAATATTAACTTAACTAGCCCACATACAATGCAGTATTCTTATTAACAGCCTGATTTTTATTAAGGGCATGATTACTCCCCGAATGTATTTATTTATTGGCTGTTAAAATGTTTGTTGTTGGGGGGTGCTGTTGGACCCCGTGGTGGGTGTACAAAGAGCCGCCTAAATGCCGACGTGAATGGGGGACCGTGGGTGGTCCCCGGTAAAATTTTACTGAATGTGCGTTCCGGTCCCTTGATGAGACCACCGTGCGGTGTGGTGGGGACCGGAATGTGAAGCAGTAACTCACGATTTTGGCCGGAAAGCCAAGACCGGACCGCCGAAGAACGGAGGAATTCCACCGTGCAGCCAATACGTCAGACGCCCGAACCTGCCGACACACGCGAACCGGAAGTAGAACAAGAACACTTGAACTCGAATGTCAGAGGTGAGTAGGGGCTGGGTGTGTAAGTAGGGGACTTACTCCTGCCACAAATTCAGGCCTAATGGCCTTTCTACATATAATAAAATATTGTAAAGCGCTACAGAATATGCTGGTGCTAAATACCAGTAATAATTATATATAATCAATAAGTGGAGCGATGTTTATGAGAAAAACCCCATACCACATGCACAGATAGAAAACTAATTGCAATAATACTTATATTCCCAGTAGATAGCAATCCCAAATTTAGGGTTGTATAGTACATGTAATAAAAAAAACAAAAATAGCAATAATAGTACAGACCCGTAGGAAATAATTGACTGTACATACAGTGATCCAAGTATGGTCAAATCCAATATAATAACTGGTAAGCGTATATTAAAACATTATTCAGACAAGGTAAAAAGATCTTGATAGAAGTGAAAATCAACTATCATAAAACAAAGTGCATGTGGTTATAGAGTCTCTGCAGCTTCCATCTGGTGGCGTCGCCGCTCGTCTTTCCCGGTCAAACTCAGTTTTGCCCACATAGATGCGTATTTTGTCACATCTATGCATTTCACTCTACAAGAATGGCATCAGACTGTAAGGGTGGAGCTTTCTGAATTTTAATATAGTTTGTACCTTTGCTAGAAATATGGCCTTAGCTATAGCAGGTCATAGAGCTCTGTGGCTAAAATCTTGGAATGCAGATTTGTTCTCTAAAAGTAGGTTGTAGAATCTTTCCAAGAAGAGCTCCGTTTTGGGACTTTTACATAAGGTGTTTTAAAAAAAAAAGCAGCTGAAGGCAAGAAGGTGTTCCTGTCTCAGTTTTGTAAAGATTTTACAGACCATAGAGATAATTTTCCAGATCAGCTTAAGAGAGCAAAAGACATCTACATCCTCCAGAGCATCTAATCACCCTTTCTGAAGTTTTTGTAACACAAATTCCAGAAGTTAGAGCTAGCTTACATCATATTTGGGAAATCTGGGCTCTAAGATCTTGACCCTTGGCAAGTCCTTTATCAGATTAAAAACTACAATGAAGGCAGGGCTGCCCCCTCTCACCTCTCCTGTTCGTGTTAAGCATAGACCTCGCCGCACCTGTCTCCCCTCTATACCAACTCTCAGGCACAACAATTCCACATGATCAACAACTCCCAGACCTTGACTAACTTAGGCCTACCATCCCCATGCAGGCTACAACACATCCTAGTGAACGGGACCATTCCCCCGTTAACGGAAATGCCCACACCCACCCCTTCTGACCACATGACTAAATTCCGATATCACCAATTGGTGAGCACACTGAAGCGAATCCCCAACCTACCCTCGGCTGCTAGACCCCTGACCACGTTTGAGGCCATCTGTACGCAAGACGCCCCCACGCCGCACGCCATATCACTCCTGTACCGACTGATAAACTCAACACAGGGAGATACCCGACTTCCCTACTTTACCAGATACTGGGAAAGAGACCTTGGGCATCCGCTGACCCAAGACCAAAGGACCACAGCATTCACGATGACACATAAAACCTCCATAAGCACCAGATACCAAGAATCGGGATACAAAATGATATATCGCACTGGTATAAAACACCAGAGAAACTCGCCACTATGTATGACACAAGCACACCAGAATGTTGGAGATGCGGAACTGAACTGGGCACGCTATACCACATCTGGTGGACATGCCCGCAGATCAAACCTTTCTGGCACGAAATACACCAGGTGGTTACAACGCTCACAGACAACGCCATAGAACTCACGCCAGAAAACTACCTACTACACCTGACATCTCTACAACCCCCCGCCTACAAAATAAACGATCACCCCGTACCTAGTGAATGCAGCACATAGCCTAATCCCAACATTCTGGAAAAAATCCATAATACCAACCCTGACGGACTGGATAACAAGGGTAGAGGACATAAGAACCATAGAGGAAATGATCCTGACAGCAAAAGGAAGACCCCAGACGTACCTGAAGACATGGTTCCACTGGCTACAATGGCTAACCGCTAGACAAAACCCAGGGCCACACCCACGAAGGACGGACGGCGGTTGAGGTCCTATGGATCACAGGGCAACACACCACACAGACCAGGAGATCACGGCACACACACCTGGAGACAGGACACCCAAAGACTGCAATGGGAACACATGCAACAGACTGTACCAAGGGGGGGGCCGGGCGCTGGCATGGCGTGGGGGCTCCGGCCCCGTGGGGAGACCCCACCCCTAAACCCACCCCAGGAACACATACCCCCCCCCCCACAAAACACAAAGACAGAACCAACACAGACATACCACCACAGGACCATGCCCATCCCCATGGTCCTAACCTTCACAAGACACAAGCGACAACATCACGCCCAAGTGGAGAAGAGGAGGGAGGACACCCAAGACCTACCCCCTACACAATCACATGCCACCTCAGCACCCCCGACGTGCACATTGTCCCATGAGTCGAGACATGAACCTGCCCTGAATCAACACTGAACCCCGTGGACATGGGAAGGATGAGACCAGACTCAAGGACCAGGGCACCACACTAGATAAAGGGGGGCTGACACTACCCATAGAAGTCCACCAAACGAGCCCCCCACCCGTCGGGACCATAAGCTATCACCCCCAAACTACTAAATCAACACCACCAGCGGCACACACACAAGAACATACTCACAACCACACACAGATAGCCCGACTGGCCCCAACCCGGAGACAGCCTCGAACCGAGAGAAATAACACAAGGGCACCACAACACGGACTCTGAACACGGACGCTTCTACAAGGCAACCAATAGAGACGGACCGCTTTACTCCTCTACGAAACCTGACCTAGATACATTATATAGCACCCTAACATCGGCTAACCAATTCCCTATGGAAGGCACGCAATAGCGACCACTATGCAATATATCGTAAAACAATATCACTATAGTCACTATGCCCCATAAGACCACATATCTGCTTAAGAAAGGTATAATACAAAACTATATGCCGCCCTCAAAAATCACAGGGATCATACGTTATAAGCCTCTGCGTAGGCTAATGTTGCAAAGCTACTGATGAAACAACCCCGCATCTCAAACCATCTACCAAATATACAACACTACCCCTGCGTGGGTAAACTGTTCTCTATCAGAGGTTAGGAATTGTCCACCATTACCCAGGTCGCAACTACCACGAAATATGTAATAAGCCTTACTCTTGTTTGTTTGATGTACTATGCCTCTGCGTAGGCAACAATGCACCCTCTTTTCAAACCGGTTACATGTCTGCTAACATTTTGCATACGAAATAAAAAATAAATAAAAAATACAATGAAAAGTATTAAGTGACATAACATTGTCTTTCAGAAGCTTTGATATCTCAAAAGTACCTATCAACAAGATATTTAAAGAATCCACTTTTTCTGGCTCCGTCTTCAGGCGACTGGAATCAGATTCTAGATCTTCACAAGGTGAACCTCTCTCTCAACATTCGTATATTCAGAATGGAATACTGGTCTTCAATCATCTCTGCAGTGTATCAAAAAGTCTGGTTCAATGTCCATATGTAAAGGTTGCATACTTTCACATACGTATTACAAAACACAATCAACATTTATGGGATATTTTGGGAGATCACTTCCAAATCAGAGCTATGCATTTTGGTATAAGCACCGCCTAAAAACAGAGGAGCTGGTGTTCAAAGGGCTTTACGGAAGTAATGAAATTAGTTGATTTGTACACACAGGCCGTCTAAATCCTGTAGTATGTGGAGGAAGTAGATTTTCTTCTTGATTGATATAACAAGTTTTCTGCAGTATCCCATATTTCTGAATTTGTCCAGGATGGCCTTGACACGGGTCTTAGCTTGTTCTGTGTTTCTTCCTTATCTTGATTTCGAACAGCTGTATGAGAAATTAGACCCATCAAATCCTTTTCGCCTCCTTGGGATCTTCCATTGGTGTTCTCTTTGGCTCCTTTTGAACCCTTAAAAGGATTCTACAGACCTTATTATTATCCTTGTGTCTTTTGTTGGTTGCCATTAACTTTAGGAAGAAGAATTTCGGAAATTCAGGCCTTATCAGCAGAATAATCTTTCACAGTCTTCTATCCTGATCGTTGTTCTTCGGACAGTTGCAGAATTGAGGCCTAAAGTCATCTCAAATTTTTATTTGAATGAGGATATTGTTTTGCCATCCTTTTATCAAGCACCTAATCCTGAAGAAGACAGATGGCTCACCTGGGATGTGTTTAGATGTTTATCTTTCTAACACTGTCTATTGGACTCACGGTGCCTAGAGAGATATCAGCTATGCCTCACTGACGATGCCTAACAAGGCTGAAACGATCGTCTGGGGTTGCTGTATCTCTCGTGCAGAGAGAACTTGCTGGCATTTCGGATCTGGACTGCCCGTATGGGTGGGGCCAGTCTGGTATGCTTCAGATATGTTCTCTCTGTAATGGCACAAGATGAGCTAAAACCAGCTTGAGTTCTGAGTGGGGACCCACCGAAGGGCAGGCTATTTTAGCTGCTGTCCGTTCTCAGAATACTCTTGCGACCCATTTTTTGCTGTCTATTGGAGACAGTCTTCAAGACTTTTCCTGATTTTTTTTAAAAAAAATTTTATTAGTCGGATTGTCATGACGATATCTAAATCTTATCAAGCTTAAGTCCCACCTGCTCTTTACAAAATCCTGGTCTTTGTCCTGGGCAACTGCTTTCATAGAGAGCATAGGCTAATACATTCATCAAGCAATATTGATAGGATGTTTGTATCCAGAAGTCATAGCAATTTGGAAGATAGTTTTCCTTTAGCCTCTTGAACTAACGCTATAAACATTTCTATTGTCATTCTGAATACTGTGCCTCCTTTTTCTTATTTACTCTGCAAAATAGTCTCCAAAATGTGAATGCACATTAGAGAACGATTGCAGCACTAACAAAATGCACAGTGCAGAGACAAACCGTGCATGTCTACTACTCTCTTGCTTACCCAATTGCCGTGGATCATCCAGGAATATAGAAAATGTCTTCTGCTTAACCCCTTAAGGACACATGACAGAAATATTCCATCATGATTCCCTTTTATTCCAGAAGTTGTGTCCTTAAGGGGTTAATACATCCAAGACCGCATTAGTTTTACTCCATCCCTTTGAGCGTGTTACAAGACTGGAGACCGGATGTGTATATCCTATTTATAATTTATTTCCTCATCTAAACAGCAGAGTGCTTAAAGCTAACCATGTAGTGAAGCTGCCATGGATATATCCAGAAAAGAAGAAAAAAAAAAAGACAACTTTATTTAAAAAAAATAAAAACTAGATTTAAAGTGTAACTATACCACTTCACTTACCATAAATCAATTCCTCTACATGACTAACTTTTCCCCAGAAATAACTTCCCCTCTCTCCCTTTATTCTATGAATTTCCATAGTTCCCCTCCTGCTTTGATCTGCTGTCAACAAACAGTTATTTAAAGTTACAATTGTTTGCATGATGATGTTTGTATGAAAACTGAAAAAAAAACAAAAAAATAAAAAAAAAACACACATTAGAAGAAGCTGCATATAGGAGTGCGTTACCTTTGACAGTAACATTTAATTTACAATTTTAAGTATGTTAATATCATGCATTTTTACAGATGTTGTAAAGCACTGTACTGACACATAACCAAATACTGGGAATACGAATATACAAAAATATAAACTATGGATATTCACATAACCTGGGTTCCTATACTGGGCAAACCCTGAACCATATAGCACTCTTAATTATCTTTATATTTTATTTTAAATAAAAAGCCATCTTCGTGCAAATAAAAATATAAGAATAGTGACTGGCTGTGGAGGGACATAATAGCAGCTCAGCTTACACGGACCTATTAGCTGAGCACATATTCAAAGTACTCCAAATAAGGATGCTTTGAGAGAGGAAGAAGTGTGGCTAAGGGGGTGGAAACATTGTTAATCAAAACCTAGCAAATGCATTTACATAGCGTTTTGTGTGAAGCATGCCTATTGTCTCCCCTTAAGTCTTAGCAAGCAGTCCAACATGATTCTGTCTTGTGAATGAAGTGGTTTTGCCATGTTTACTGTGGTCTTGCTGACCGGCAGGATGAGACCAGAGGAATGAAACTTACTTTTGTTGCTTGTATTATGCATACAAACAAAATAATTGCTGATCACTGGCCATCACATTTATTGGAAAGCAAATAATGTTAAAAGCAAGCTGACTAACCATAAGTATTATTCAAGAGATTAATAAACTGTAAAACAGACATAAATGTGCATCATTCCACATTGTGGAAATATTTCCATCAGTTTATTTACCTGACCATCGGGTCTAAGCTAGAGTGTAGAAACTCAGGGAAACAATGATAAATATTTTATCTTGGTTGTGTGTAACAATTCTAATTGTTACAAGTACAGACTTGAACACTGCATAACGCTGGTGCTCAGAAGAGCAGTTAAAAGTTCTCCCATTTCCACGATGGGATGCTTTATCTATAGCAAATCCAGGAATGACAATTCTATCTGTGCAAAAGGATTCCAGGAGCATTTTCTCATTCCACGGGGTCACTACATCAGTCCACGAAAACACTTTGAACCACAGTCACAGCTCAGCTGTTGAGCTCACATCATTCAATACTAAAAGTGCGAGAGTTAACAATGTCATTGTGCTAGGGAAAACTGTCTAGTACAGAGACTTCATTATTAATAATAAAAAAAAAAAACTAAAAAAAACCACACTTCAGAAATAGAGTAAGGGCACAGAATGACAAATTGCTACGAAAGCATGTCATATTGATGGTAAAGCACAGAATATGGCGTAGTGGGTACTAGTCCACACCTTATTAAAACTGTCTCAAATAAATGGAAACCAAAAAGAATGAATGAGATTCAGAATAAAATTATGCAACTGTGTAAGTGACATGAAACAATGCCAGAAGTTGATTGTCCTTTCAAAGCTCGACCCATCTATGTTACAGTATCTTAGCACACCAAATGGATTGCCACTTGAGTATGAAATGGAAGGAGGAGAGAGCCAGGAGATGCATCTTGATTTACTGCAGCTGAACTCTATACGCACAAATTAGCAGCTTCACCTGTGGGTAGAAACATGGGAGATTTACCATTTGTACGAATGGGTGTTTGCAATAAAAAGAATGCAAAAAAGTATTAAAATCAGCATTTAATCCTTACTAACACTAACGGTAATTTACATTAGTTATCACACAGAAAGAATTGCACCTAACATACCTAAAACAGTCTGTGAATTAAAATATGCTCCTGTCCAATCCAGTAGTGAAAGTCACCGTAAAATAAAAAAAATAAAAAACGCAGCAAAATAAGTCACTCTGGTTGGGGAAATCATTTAAAATCCAAAAAAAAAAAAAAAAAGAAAAACCTTCCTATTCAGATTTTACAATAAATTTTCCAGTTCGCCACAATTATTATTTAGATTTACAAATATATAAATGCAAAACAAAACACAAATCCTGCCCAGCTTACCTTTGCTGTTGGTACCTCTGATAATCTAATAAACAGTTTATTTTGACCATTAATGGGACTGAAGGAATAAATGAAGTGGGCATCCTAGAAGAGAAGAAAAGAAAAGTCTCAGAACATTTCTGGGAATCACCAGTGTTTTGCAGGGCAGGTAATCAGGGCTATGCCATAATTGTGATATGGAACACATTTAAACTCTTGCTCCCTCTCCGGCCCCAGCTTGCATGCACAAGCCTTTCCTTTGGCTGACCCCCTTCCTCCCTCTCCAGCTTGGAAACATTTTCTGTTGCGATGCCAGTGACAGGCTGAGAACATCAACACCCTCAGCCTATCACTGGTGCTCCAATAGAAGTATTTTGACATTGAAGCCAGAGAGGGAGTCACAGCAGATGTGCGCCATTGTTTTTCTTCTCCCTCTCTCCCCCCTCACTCTGCTCTCAGAAAGATATTTATAGCTCTCTGCAAAAATGGTGTCTATTTTCTAACAAACCTGTGTCATTTCTACACTCATGTCGCTTAAACCCCTGTATCACAACTCAGCTTTGAATTCTATATGTGTCTTGCTCAGAAATGCTTCAGACTTGAGAAAGGGAGGTTCTCCCGAAAGCTTGTCATTAAAAAATTATGTTAGTCCAATAAAAATAAAGGTATTAAAAGATACCAAGATACTAATTTTATCTGTTTTTTACATCACTGGACTAATATATATATCTCTATCTATCCGTATAACACACACACACGAAAAATGAAACACTTACCAAAAATATTGGGAGTTGAAATTTGTCGTTTAATACCACCGCCTGTACACTGCATGGCCCACAGAGTCTCACCACAACTTCTTTACCAAAAAAGTTTGCATGAAATACAAACAATAAGACACCCGATCCTGCAAAATTAAATAAAGTATCACTAGAAATGCTTAATTGAAGTTATCAATTAAAGAAAGATCTAACATATGGTACAAAGCAGAAAACTAGAGATCCTAAAGGGAATCTTACCCACTGTTCCCATGCCGCACTGCCCACTTTTGGTCTGCCCTCGATCCCCCACAGTAGTTTCTGATTTGCCTTGCTTTAAAACGCTTCCTCACGGAGGGCAAACCTCCTATGACGCCGGCACACTGAGTTTGCCAGTATGCCCGAGTTTGAACTGTGTGAGGTCAGTTCGTTCCTGTACTCCCTAAGCCAGCGTTAGCAGGGTCAGCTAGGAAGTTACCATAGCAACCACAGCATGGAGAGCCCTGCAGGACCGCCTGTAGGTGGTTTCTTCTGCTCTCCTTTATCATTCTATTCATCGACAGAGTCTATGCTGAAGAATTGATTTACAAGCAGGAGAAATATTGAATTTAAATAAACTTAGCACAATGCAGAGATGGAATTTACTGCTTTTCAAAGGGTACTGTTAAGCACAACAGATTCCCTTTAAAGTGAATCTGTTATGCCATGTTCAACGTTTGATATATTTACTGATTTAGCAGTTGTTACAGCTAAGATAATTTAGTCAATTGCAATAGGAGCTATTATAGTCTTACTTCCCTTCTGTCCCTTTACCCGATGAAACTAATGTAACACCCACACTCAAGTTTAAAACCTGTTCTGTGACAAGAAACTGCATAGACAAAGATTAACCCCTTAACGCCGTTACGGCGTTCTATGCCGTCCCGCATTAAAAGGGCTTTAAAGCCGTTGCGGCGGCATAGAACGCCGTAACGGCTTTCTATCCCTGGAGGTCCAGTGGACTTACCTCCGCCGCAATCCTTTTCTGGAGGGCTGCCCAACAGCCCAGGCAGCCTTCCCCCGGCAAATGAGGCCCCCGGGGGCCAAGTGATCGCTCTCAAAGAGCGATCACATGGCCCCCTATAGCTGGCTGTGGATCTGCCAGCAGGGGGACTGTCTGAAATATTAGACATGCTGATGGGAAGTATTAAAAATAAAAATATTAGACATGTTAAAATAAATATACACACACCCCCCAGTTAAAGAAAACGATATTATGGGGGGCGGAGCTAAGCGGCCATGCTGAGAGGTTGCACTGGAGACTAGCTCCGTGTAAAAACGCTCCAAAACAGCCAAAATCACGGCTAAAACCCACAAAATCGATGGTTAAGCGACCTGGAAAAGGGAGACCTTACATTGCAGAGCCAAGAGCCAAGCATCCCGACCGAAATCAGAGGCTTCTAGCCGGGGATAGACCCGAGGCCTGCTAGAGGCCTACTCAGCCAAAGTGAGATACTGCAGCCACTCACCTGGAGGTCTCCTCGGCATACTTCCTCCCCCCCCCCGCCGGAGAGGGATATCCCGGCAACAAAAGCCTGAGACACAGCGACTAAAACCCAGAGGTGACTGTCCTCCACAGCAGGCACAGCACCAGCTATCACTGGGTCATTGAGAAGCAGCAAAGATGGCCGCCAAGCGAAGGCCCCAAAAACAAAGCACACAAGCACAACCAACCACGGACCCCCTGGGGGACTTCGACCAACTCTGTGAGAGACTCTGGTCTATGCTGAGTGAGCGTGGAATGGCTTACCGCCGGGCAGTGAAACTGGTGGCCACGTGGATCCGTCCAGCAACCAGGCGGCGCCATTACAGGCACCCACTTCAAACACCCAGAAAGACAACTAGACCCTACAAACACCGTCGAGCTCAAGGGCGGGAAACTATGCCATATTACGATGGCCCCCACACCCAAGAGAACAAGACTGCTAAGCCAACCTCAAGCTACTCACCAGCTCAGCAGGGCTCACCTTCACCCCTCCAAGCCACAGCTGCAAACCGGGGAGCTGCACAGTTGAACACTCTGCTAGATACCGCTGGAGCGGAGCCCCAGTGCCAGAACAGTTTTTGGGAGATCAACACTGACAACAGGAGACACGTCCATGCGCTGGGCATTGGCTGAAGGACCTGCCTCAGGTGCACACGCCATAAGTGCACCTGGAGGGCACATTCACAGCTGCCGACACACGGACTTCCTACACCACGTAACTATGGCTGTCCAATGCAGAGATTAAGTGCATTAAATGAACACTGCTGGCCGACCATTTAGCCTATGTTAATCCTCCCTATGTTGCCCTTCTATAACTGGTGCCGCAATGAGGGTTCTCACACCTTGACCCCTACCGATGTACGGCATCGTAAGCTACTAAACATATGGCAGTCACCCTCACTAATTTTCTGATCCTTAAAGCGATGGTATTTTATGTTAAACTAAGAAACAAGCACGTTTGCATTGTGGCCAATCTGGTCAACTAATACAGCGTTAGTAACCATAACTTTTGCTAATGCAACTAGCATGTAACTATATCCTGACCTAAGCAGCATGCATATTTTTTTTTGTCTTATTTAACTTTTACACTCCACCAGCTACTTAGCCCGACTAAATCTTAGGATTAATAATGCTGGTGTACATCGTATAATTAATCGTTAAAATGTTGTAACTAGCTCATCTGAAACAATATTACGTTTGACACATACTGATCCAAAAAAAATAAAAAAAATAAATTAGCATAGTAAGGGACTAAAATTGCATGTAGCCAGGGCCAGTGCACTAAGTTTGCTTCCCTTTTGCAAGCCTATTACGTGACACACGCTTTATAGCATAGTGAGTTAGGCATTTATAGAAATTAACATTGCCTCATCGCTTTCTGTTCCATTGTGGTTTTATTTCTTCTTCCTTGAAAATATTTGGCTGCCGACCCATGACTATAATTAAAATACGAAACTAGAGGCGCGCCGGGGGTTAAACCCGCAGCTAGCCTATACTAACCATATGTACTTCACTCTTGTACAAGAGCTAGACTAAGCCTGTATTACTCAATTAGAATGTTATTCTATGTTGCCTAAAATGAGCTAATTAGATATACCAGCGATGTTACCTTCAGCCAGGAGTCAGAATTAGCTGATAGACCTATGACTGTTTATTATTTTAATCATCCTTAAACATAAAAATTGTGCTAGTTTTCTCATGTACCTCTATGTCTAAATGTCTATATAACGTGTTGGAGGATTGCCTTTGGGGTACCTCACAACTGTCTGTTATGAGCTTATGCACTACAAAAATAAAGAATAAAAAAAAAAAAAAAAAAAGAAAACGATATGACTTACAGCTAAAATGTCTACACATTTTTTTTAAATCTTAATTTCTCAGTTTTTGAAATTTTATTTATAATAAATTATGTTTCAAATATGAATAGTTCATGAGAAATTAAAGCCCAGTTTCTCCTGAACAAAATGATATATAATAAGTGTGGGTGCACTTAATATGAAAGAGGTGAATTACGGTTGAACAGACATATAGCGCAAATTCCAGTTTTTGTTTACATTTAGTTTTGATCAGAATGTGTACTATTGACTGTCCAGAAGGGGTTAATGAAATGGAACAGTCTTGTAAATCATAGTTTTTTTAGGGGGTGGGGGGAGGGGGCGATGGAAACATGGGTTCCTTTCTGTCCACCCCCTTTTGCGGTAGAAATGTAAGTAGAAAAGGTTTATTCACCTCATTTCCAGCAGTGGGGAATCTCTGCTACAGCCTCCAGTTCCTCTTTTGGTGGTCAGCATCAGGAAGACAGCCACTAGAAGTGGATTTTAAGTCTGTAATGTAAACCTTGCAGCTTCTAAAAAAAGAAAACTGCAGTGTTTTACACTGCAGGATGAAAAGGACAGGACCACTGCACCCAGACCATTTCATTGAGATGAAGTGGTATGGGAGACTCTAGTGTTCCCTAATGGCCGCCCCCAGTCTGCATAGTAACAGAGCACTTCTTAAGACAATAAATGGGACAGACATTCTTAGACTTCTTTCACAGTTATTGAACTTTGAAGTAAATGCTAGAAACACACTGGAATTTTAACTAGATTTAGATTAAAAACATAAATAAAAAATAAGTTACCTTCTGGTATTTTGGATGGAGGCTTATAGTGGAAATCCAAAGAAAAATCTGGTCCTTCACACAGTCTGTGACAAGCAATTGGAAAAACCGCATCCAGCAGTGCAAGTCGATTCTCAAAATAGTCCTTTATGGCATCTTCCACCACTCGAGTAAGCCTATAGATACGTGCAAATATAAAAACTTAGTGTTTATATAAAAATGACAGCAGCTCAATAGAAAATATTTATGAGCCTATCAGAGCTCTACAGTGGTAACCACAGTATTTTTTTTTTTAAACAAATATAAGAGGGTACCATTGACTATGGGAAATAAGAATTTGAGTTCCTACTCAAAAAAGTTTACGGGATATTGTAGCATTATCCTTAAGAATTCTGGGAAAGCAAAGGATTGTCACTGGAGTGCTGGCGCAATATGCAGGATGCCATTTTCCTTTAGTTATCTTTATGTATTATAGGTCAGGCACTAACCAGGAGTAAAGGTTGGCTAGTAATCAGTATCATATTTTCTGTGTTGGATGGTGCAATGATTATTCTTCTTTGAAGGGGTTAAACATGGATCTGTGTATCTTGACACTCCTCACTCTAGAATATACCCTTACATGTATTTTAATCCAGGGGTACTTGCTCTGAAAGGATAGTGGCAGGCAGTCAAGCAGTGAAAGGGTAAATTCAAAGTTGCCCTATCAGAAGAATTGCATGTAAACGCCTAAATCATCACCTCATTATAAAATAGCTTTCATTATTCTCAGTTGCCCCCATTCTTTAAATACTAATCATAGTCAAATCCAGATGTGTGTAGCTATTAGGTAAAGGTGTTGGAGTTCTGTGTAGCTATTAGGTAAAGACTATGATATATGCAAATAATTAAACTACCACTGTACAATAAACAAAAAAGAGTTACACATTTCTAAAACAGTCACATAAAATAACACTCTTGCATTTCAGATCTGTGACCGAAACCATAATCATTACTCATAATCTTACAGAAAAATCAGTGTGAACTTAGCCTGTGAGATTGACTACCATGCCCACTCCAATACCTGTGGAGTTAAGTTTTTTTTTTTCTGTATAAACTTTTTTCCCCAAAAAAACATAAAATATTTATTCCGGAGTTCGGATTATATGCCAGATGTACAAAGTTTTTTTTTTTTTGATTTTACTAAGATTTTTTTCTTTTTTCTCTTGAGTTTTCAGGCACCCTTCTTGATGTAAACAAAAGGGTTGGACTGGGTACAGAATCAGAAATATTAAACATTAAATAAATGATAGCGTGGAAGAAAGACAATTCAATTTTTTTTCTCTTTTTTACATAATGTAGCACGAATATGGTTGATGCCTGCTTTAATGAACCCCTAATGAAAGCAGATTACATCATTATCTCATATCAAAAGCAGAGCCACCAGACAAAGGAATATTGAGTGATCCAACAGTGAGCATGTGTGTAAAAAGAAAAAGTGAGCAAAGGCAGTTTTATCTTCACTGCTTTGATGGTGTTTTTGTACAGGTCTTAAATGACCATATTTCTGGGGAGACAATAGGTACTATAAGTTTTAGGAAGTGCTCCATAAGAGTGGCTAACAAAAACATAATTTAGCATAAACTTATCTATTCACTATTCCACTGGTCTATTCAAAATCCAAATACTTTTTTTTTTTTTTTTTAACACTTCTTTTCAAAGCAGAACCAGTTAAAGCCTTCTTATCTCCATTATACAGGGATGCACAATTCCTATCGCCCAATGCCCGGAACATGCAACGCCGGGCAGGTAGTTATTTTTTGTTTTAAGCCCTGCTTTGGGCTAGCAGCAGAGTGACTGGTCGGGTCCTCGGTCACCCGACAGCTTGCCCTGTGTGCCAGGCCACTCCCATCTGCCCGGGGAGAGGGCCAACACAGTCTGCAGCTCCGCTGCATGTGAGCTGCAGACTGTGCTTATCCTGCAATCTCTGGCCGATCAGAGTGTTGCCGTGGGTTACCAGGGAAACAAAGGTATTACTAACACCCTCCTTCAGTCACTGTCACTCCCTCAGCGACAGTCACCCCCTCCCTCTCACACACTGCCACCAGGCACCCCCTCACTCCCTATGTCACCCACTCCTTTCCACGCTCTGCCACCTGTCATCCCCTCACTCTGCCATCTCTATCCCACCCAACACTATGTTTCCTGCCCATACTACATCCCTATCACCCCATACCCCTAACCCACCCCACACTGTCTCCTACACACACATCCATATCCCACCCTACACTATGCGCAATACACACACACACACACACTACTTGCCTATCCCACCCCACACACAACTTGCCTATCCCACCCCACACACACACACACTACATAACCTACAAACATACAAACTACATTGATTTTTTTTTTTTAAATGTATCATTGTCATGTCAGACAAGTAGATTAGGCAAACGCTTTAGTCTCTGGATAAGTCGTTTTTGTTTTTTTAAATTCCAACACCCCTGATTATGTATTTATATATATATGTGGCTTGTCAATTCACAATTTCATAATGAACTCCATTAGAACAAACTAAACAGTTGAAGGAAGGAGTGGAAAATACTTACGTTTCCATATGGTTTCTAAGCATATCAGATAACAGCACATTATTGGACTGATTAGCAAACTGTAAAGCATTGTTGTTGTGCTTTGACAGTACATTACAGTCAGCGCCATGTTCTATCAAAAGACGCACAATATCATAATTTCCTCTTCTACATGCCTGGAGAAACGAGAAAGAACAATTGCTTTGTTATATATGGATGTTCAATGTTTTATCCCAGCTAGTACGTTCTATAAAAAGATTTTGTATACGCAAGAACATCTGAAATTGTACAGTTTTTGACTGAAAGAATGAAAAAGAGGCGGTAAAAATGACTAGTGCTGAAAACCAAGTGAAATTTGTGAATTTGTTTTGTGAACAAATTAGAGTGGGTAATATACAAAAAAAAAGAAATGTGCATAGAGGTCACTGTACAAGAACAAGGGCTGAGAGTCTTAAATAAAGAATGCAGATAATTACAGAAAGGTGAGATCCATATATAACAAACTTCATGATGGGAACACTTGCTACAGATTACTCTGTTTAAGGTCTAAAATAAGATTTTAAAAAAATAATTAAAAATTTTAACTATTTTCGCCATCATGAATATTTTTAAACACGAACCAAAATATATATATAATTTTTTTTTTTTTTTTTTTTATTATTATTTTTTTTTTTTTTAAAACCTACTCTAACCTTCCAATGTAAAATATCAAATTTTTGAAGAAGAATAAATAAACAATAAATAAATGAATTACCTTCATCAGAGCGGTTTCACCAAGGTTTTGCTGCAAATTCACATAGGCCCCAGCCTCCAAAAGAAGGGCCACAGTGGTTAGATGATTCTAGAAGGATAGGATTTGGAAAATGTTTTGATAATTCAGAACAGAAAAAAACAAAACATACCAAATTAAAAGAAAAAAAAGAATACAAATTAACTAAATTAAATGGAAAAACTGGCAGGCAAATTGTTGAAACATCTCTGAATATATTTTTGCACAACTCAGGACCTTAAAATAATATTGGGTTCAGCTTCAGCGTAACGGGTATAGGGCAATGATTTTTAAACCCTGGTCTGAAAGAGGTCCAAAAAAATGGCAGCTATAATTGCACAGCATTCCACAGAAAAATGGAAACCTTTCCGACACTGGAAATGGTGTGGCAAAGGCAGTTTGTAGAAGTTTACTAAATTGCAAATATAGAATGGATTAATGAGCCATGAAGCCAATGGCAATGCTAACATATCTGTCCTTGTCAAAAATAAAAGAAAGCCATAAGTACCACTGTTAAAACAGCTTATGCTCACAGTATCAAAGGGTTATGTCCTGGCAAAAAAGGCAGTAGTGTAAACTAGTTGTAGCATTAGTGGAGAATTCACTGGGTAGGTGCATAAATGTACATTTTATTGGTTACAGGAACCAAAAATAAAGATATATGTTTCACCCAAGACAAGAATAGAAGGCCACTAAATTCAAGGTTAGAGCGCTACCACATCAGTCTCCTCAAGAAGAAAAAAGTTAACTTTTTTTTTTTTTTTTAATTCTTTATTTTATTTGTGCGTGAGTTAACAACATGCGAGCAGGGCCACAACAGCATCTGCAGGCGTCTTCAAGGTATCACAAAGTGTGGCAATGTAAACAGCACATTTTTTATATATGTATATATAACATGAAGATCACAGGCTATGAAACTTTAGCAATTAGTAGTAGACATGCTAGGTCAAATATGCATATAACGTAAGTATTAACCCTTAAGCTGATGGTTTGTATGTAGGCTACTTGTTGAGACAAAATAATGTGAACACACTTCTAACGAAAGGCAAACAAGCTTGAGTCATGTAGCAAGTATTAGTTAAGCATGGGACGGTAGCTTTAAACATGAATTACACTCTGTTTGCATTATTGGCTAGGTCAGTCGTTGGTCCGTGTATTATTGGGAGATATACAGTTTCGCGTATCAGCCTCCAGTCATAACTATCAATGCACAACTAGGTCAGGGGTACAGTCATATAGGTTCTCACTTGGTTGGGTACGTTTGGCTTTGTATGACATGCTGCTGTGTGGATGTGGTGTGTTGGTTTGTGCGTTGCTTGTAGGGCAGCGATATCTATGTGAGTGTGTGCTTGTAAGTGCCGTGTAGACTGCGTGTACATTAGGCTAATACACAAAACAGAATGCTAAATAATTTGCTTGTGTGCTTCCAGTAGGTCACCATAAGAGTTCTGGCACCCTGATGTATCAGGGGGGTTACCCGGGTTTTCTCCGTGATGAAGGCTGGTGTCAGGGTGGTCCCAAGCCCACACTGCCGGGGTAGGGTGCAGGTCTCAGTTTAAGTGATACCTGCTCTGCTAGTGCTGTGTAGCAGGGAACGAGTGTCCGTCAGAGCAGGTATCCAGGCATAGTCCATGTTGTTCTGTGGGGTCCTCGCTGAGTGTTCTTGAATGGCCGCCTCCTGTTATGAAACTTGCTTCAGAGGGCTGGTGTCAGGCCTGGGTAGTAGTAACGTTGTAATCGCCTGAGTTTGCCGTTATCTGGGTCGCGGTGATGCGAGCTGGGCGGCAGGTGAGTGTGAGGTGGGTCCTCGTGTGGAGGTAGCTCTCTGTTTCAGGCTCTGATTTCCCGGGCTGGAGTGGTAGTGGCGCCACATCCCATCTCCCTAGTGCGGTCGCCATGATCCGCTTGCCGGGGTCGCATGTACCGCTTGACTTCGGCATGTGTGGGTGCGAGGGTAGGTAGTGGGTTGTCCGCCCCTCTCTGTTGCAGGGTTGGGGTGTTGGAGCCCTGTTGTCTGCTGCAAACACGAAGATGGCGCAGATCTTCCCCCTGCTTCCCCGACACATGGCGCCCGCCATCTTGGAGGCCGCTCTCGGGTCCCCCGGCTCCATTTGTGTTCTCTGAAGTAGGGCCACAGGGTGAGGACCGGGATCACCCCCACCGGTCCAAGGGGGGGGGGGAGAAACGGGTCCGGATCCACCTGGATTCGTGCCCCAAGCTGGGTACTGTGGTGCAGGATAGTGGGGCAGCGGACGTCCGCCCCACTCACCGCCAGAGAAGGCCCTGCTTGTGGAAGTGTGGCCATCTCCTCCCGGGGACTGAAGCTCGATGAGCCAGCCTCTCCCAAGGTCCAGCAGTCCCTGTGCTCTGGGTACTGTCGCTGGTGGTCGTTTTAAAGGTGATTAGGCATGGTTTTTCAGTTTAATTGTCGTTGTTTTGCAGGAGCTGCACTTGTTTGCGACCAGCTAGCTCGGCGGTCCGGCCCCGCCCCCCAAAAGTTAACATTTTTAATCTTGACATATGGGAAATTTAGACCAAAAACCCTCCATATCATTGAAAAGAATCGCCATCCATTACCACCTTTAGCCCTAGAAACAAGGGTGTATTTCACATCATTTGATAGCATTGGAGAATTTTATCCCATAAATACATCCCACAACAGACCTGAATTTCACCCCCCACTTCTCCCCCATTTATATAGATGTAGCTATTTATTCACAGGGCCAAACGACAGCATATGGTTATTGAATTACAGCTGCCTTGGCAACGACATGGTCATGTGACTTGTACACCAGGGTACCACAGAGCTGGCTGTTTACATAGTATCAGACTTTGATTTACCTTCTTGGTTCTTCATACACATAATCTGATTCATTAGTGGCTTATATGGTTTCTCTTATATACTCTTCCTCTCCATGTACTGCATCCATGATATATTATGTGATGCTACATACTTATGCTAATTGTTTTTTCACTAGACATCGGTTTGAGTTTAGTTACTACTTATTATAAAAACACATACTGTGAGACTGGTCTTTATTTTTGAGCCAAATTTTCAGGTAAACTGAAATATGTACATAGTTCCATTATACACGAGTAAAACCTCCTGGCCAAAAGCTTTTTACTTTGTGTTTCTATTTCCAATACATTTACATTTATGCACCTACCCTGTTGAACCCGTGGTTTCTCTATCACAGCTACAATTTGGAGACTGTGGTCTTCAGAAACAGTGTGCCACACTTGGCATTGGATTTCAGCTATATTCCACATAATATTTTATACTGTAAACTAATAATTAGTTGCAGTTGCCTGTGGCCCAACGAATATGAAGTGTCTGGTTCTAACAAACCATGAACTGACATTGGATGTATTTCATCCATTATCGAATACCATAGAGAACGTCTGTGAAGTCAGCTTTACTTGAATCTTTTTTTTAATTCTTTATTTTGGTTGTGCACATAACAAATCAGTCTTACCCTGCCACGACAGTAGGAGCAAAAGTATAATCGTATACAGTATAACAGTGGCAGTTGATATATCTGCACATTTTATATAGGGGGGGGGGGAGGAGCACGCGGCGGGCCCTGTCTCTTGCTCTCGTCAAGTGCTGTATGTCCTAGTCGCCTATGTATTCCACCCATGGTTGCCAGACTTTGTGGAACTTCGTTTCCGTGTTTCTTATTTGGGCAGTGAGTTTGTCCATTAAGTAAGTGTCTTTAATTTTTAAGATGACGTCGGTATTTGTCGGGACTGAGGGTGTCCGCCACGCCTGGGCTAGTGCCCGTCTGGCCGCCAGGGTGATTTTGTTGAATAGGAGTTGTTCGTGTCTGGGTTGGCCATCTATTGGCCTAGACAGCAGGACGGACCAAGGGTCCATTTCCACCTGTCTACCCAGGACGTCCGTTAATAAAGTCTGTACTTGTTTCCAATACCTGCCTATGACTGGGCATTCCCACCACATATGCACAAATGTGCCCTTATGTCCGCATCCCTTCCAGCACGTATCTGTTGTGGTTTGCCCCATTCTGTATAATTGTACTGGTGTGGTATACCATCTCATTAACATTTTATATGATTGTTCCTGGTGGAGAACACAGATCGACGACTTTGCAGCCGCCTCCCATATATCCACCCAGATCAGTCTCCCACTGTCTAATGTATCTGGGGTCCGGGGTGTTTCTGTCTGGGGCACTGAGGTGTGCGTACAGAAGTGTGATCAGTCCTTTCTGTTCAGTCTCTGTGTCGCACAGTCGTTCAAAAAACGTCATGGGTGTGTGTGCTGCCTGTTTGATCTCTGGGCCGTTAGCAAAGTCCTTAAGCTGGATATAGCGGAATATGTCTTTCGTGGTCAGGGGGGCTAGGGTTTTCAGGTGTTCAAACGTTTTGAATTTCCCCTTATCGTATAGGTGGACGTATCTCTGTACCCCTGTGCTCTCGATACCCCGGAAATCTCGCGCGCTCAGTCCCGGCAGGAATGCCCTGTTGTGGAGGTATGGGGTCATCGGAGATGGGGTGTGTTTGAGGTTGTATTTGTCTGCTGTGAGGTCCCAAATTCGGAGTGTGTTAAGTATTGCCGGGCACGTAGTGCGAATGGGTGGTCTATCTTTTTTGGGTACCCAGATCCAAAATTGTGGTAGGTCCGTGCACATCAGGCTTGACTCTAGGTCCGCCCACCTATGGGAGCCCACCCGGGAGTGCCACGCCACCACCTGGGCCAACTGCGCCGCCAGGTAATAACAGTAGAGACTCGGGAGACCCAGTCCCCCCCTGGTTTTTGGCCGGTACATCACCTCCCTGGCCAGGCGGTGGCGTTTGTGAGCCCAGATAAACTTGTCTATGTCTCGTTGCAGTGAGCTTTACTTGAATCTTAACAGCACATTTTCTAGTATTCCAAAGCAGCCAAATCTTTGCACATACGCTAGCCAAAAACTATTAACTGGAAGAACTCACTTTTTCTGCAGCATGGATCAGAGCCGTGGTCCCATTCTTTTGTCTTGCGTTTATCTTTGCGCCTTTCTTTATAAGAAGCCTTAGAAGGTCATCCTGTCCGGCAGCAGCTGCCATCATTACAAGTGTCATTCCGCTAGAATCCTACATTAAAGTGGCATCTTATTAGCCAAGAACATAGTGAAACAGGTACAAATACATACCGTAATATTGTTTGCATTTGTGTAATAATTACTGGGCTCAACCACCAAAACAGCATGTCATAGGTGTAAAGGGGATGTAGCCAAGACATGTAGAATATGAAATTCTAGAGCATCTGCACAGTTATTCATAGTGATGTTCCAAAAACCAAAAATGATCATTATGTGATAAGAGCACAAGGTAAAATAAAAACATGCATGCATACAACTACCTCTTGATCTAAATTGTACTCCTCCGTTGAGTTCAGGGCAAACTTTACTGTGAGGTAATCTCCATTTTTGACAGCATCTTTCAATGCACCTATTAGAAAGAAAATACTTTATTAACCAAACCAGAAAAAAACAACAACAGTTGGTCACAGAGAAATACAGGAAATGACATAACATACCGTTGGATATAGTTTCTGTGGGAAGAATCTCATCAGACCCATCAAGGTGGCTTTGAAAGTCTTCCAGAGTCATCCATTCCAGCTGTAAGTCCATCCCTAGTCCCATACACTGGGACTTACTCTCCAAAGCAGCTGAAAACAAACGCTGATATTATAAAGAGCTTGTTTTTTGCTTTTTTCTTCATAATTACATTAGTGGTATCCACAAGAAAGAAACAAAATAAAACACACATCTAATTGACTAGTGACAAAACCATTCCAATAAAAATATTATCAAATAAGAATTACTTAGCTTATATAAACAAGTAACAATGTAAACAAAGACCGCACGGAGGAGAAATCCCAGAGGAATACAATGGTCTCCAAATCACATATTTTAGTCACTATATTAAACAGTGACCAAGTGGTACACTAAAACTGCCTAATTACTCAGCAATTGAGAGTCAAGGTAATTATAAAGCAAAACAAAAAATGATTGATATAGTAAATACATAGCATAGTGATATGGAATGTGTATGGGAACTTTATGTACCAGAATTTTCCTGCAGGTGACATACTGGGTCCATCACCTCCTGATCCCCCTCAGAAGCTACAAAAGACCATGTGTCAGATTCATCCCTTGTACTTTTTCTTTCTTTGAATACTGGCTTCAGGTCTTTAGGTTTTGGTTCTTCTGCAATCCTATGATCAAATGAGGGGTCTTCTCGCTTTCGAGAATTCTCCATGATTTCATTCACATCTTCAGACGATATGGAAAATGCACTCGCTGTACTTTTGGGTTCCTTGGCATCTGCATAGGTTATAAAAGTACAAAATGCTGATTTAATAAGCCAAATTTGTTCAGCAAAATAGTAGCCCATATGATCTGCCAACCGCCCACTGATATTATAAAAGTATATGAAGATATTTTGACATTTAGATTTCAAATTAAATTGGTGTTAAACTTTTCATGCAAACAGCACATGGTGACACTTTATATGCAATAACATTTTAACTGCATTCAGGCTTATCAATAAACTGCAATCTTTAAGTTTGGATTCCAATATTGTTGAATGGGTAAGGCAGTAGCGGAGTGACAGGCAACAGAGGGTTGTAGTCAATGGAGTATATTCCAAGCATGGGCTTGTCACCAGTGGGGTACCTCTGGGATCTGCACTTGAACCCATTCTCTTTAATGGTTTTATTAGTGATATTGCAGAAGGTCTTGATGGTAAGGTATGTTCCAGGAGGGATAGGACAAATTTAGGTAAACTAGAAAAATGGTCAGAGTTGTGGCAACAGACATTTAATGTGGATAAGTGCAAGATAATGCATCTTGGACGTAAAAACCCAAGGGCAGAGTACAGAATGTTTGATAGAGTCCTAACCTCAACATCTGAGGAAAAGGATTTAGGGGTAATTATTTCTGATGACTTAAAAGTAGGCAGACAATGTAATAGAGCAGCAGGAAATGCTAGCAGAATGCTTGGTTGTATAGGGAGACGTATTAGAAGTAGAAAGAGGAAAGTGCTCGTGCCACTGTTCAGAACACTGGTGAGACTCCACTTGGAGTATTGTACGCAGTACTGGAGACCGTATCTTCAGAAGGATATTGATACTTTAGAGAGAGTTCAGAGAAGGGTTAATAAACTGGTTCATGGATTGCAGGATAAAACTTACAAGGAAAAGTTAAGGGAAGTTAACATGTATAGCTTGGAGGAAAGACAAGACAGGGGGGATATGATAGAAACATTTAAATACATAAAGGGAATCAACACAGTAAAGAAGGAGACTATATTTAAAGGAAGAAAAACCACCACAAGAGGACAGTCTTAAATTAGAGGGGCAATGGTTTAAAAATAATATCAGGAAGTATTACTTTATTGAGAGGGTAGTGGATGCATGGAATAGCCTTCCAGCTGAAGTGGTAGAGGTTAACACAGTAAAGGAGTTTTAGCATGCGTGTGTTATGCATAAGGCTATCCTAGTTATAAGATAAGGCCAGGGACTAATGAAAGTATTTAAAAAAAATTGGGTAGACTAGATGGGCCAAATGCTTCTTATCTGCCGTCACATTCTATGTTTCTATGTAAGAGTTCATTGCTAACAAAGTGAAGAGATTTTTATGTTTAAGCAAAGCTGGAATTGGAAATAGAAATAGCAGCACTATTTGCAAATAGGTGCACAACCACAGTTTAGCCTTCCAAAAACAGGAGGAGGTCAGAATTACACAGTATGCTAGCTATCAAACAGATAAGTCTGGTATTGTACAGCACGTTTCACTAAAAATAAGCTATTAAGGCAGACAATACACAGCGTGTGTGAATAGGAATAATGAGAGCATTTTAGAATGCATTAGGTTAATAACAGGCAGGGACGGCCAGCATCAGTGTTCCTAGTGCCAAACATGGCATGGTAGTTGCAAAACAAAGTCATATAAGCACAAAATGTGAGTTCAGGTAATCAGCCTTAAAGATATGTACCTATGGGGTACATATCTATGTAAACATAATGACTTGTGCAGATATCAGGAGAGCAGACCGGCTGAGCTATATGACTTTTCATAATGAAGTGTTTAATAAACTGATAAAAACCTACTAATAGAAGCAAAAACATATCTGCTCAATTAATATAAACATCGTCTAAGGAGATAGGATCAAATCTGTATAACTAGCAAACATATGTCAGCATTTACAGTTGGCACACCACATTTTGTAAAGTAGATTTCCCACGTTGCTCTGCCCTCTCTACAAGGTTGAACATTATGTGAAAAAGTACAGAACAGCTGCCGAGATTAACAGAGCATATTGAGCAGTTCCACCGACCCTATTAAACAAGACGTGTGGAACTGCTGCTGAAGGCTGACCTATAAATGTAAAGGATATGACCAGTCTCTATAGAGAATAACAGCCTCTTCCGGGTCTGGGAGGGGCTCTCTGTTGCTTGTCTGTGGATTTGCCAAAACAGCAGGAAGGTGAATGTTATTGGTGTTCATTTATAATTCAATATGAAGATATGCATTAAAAGAAACAGGAGTCACTTCCAGCATGGAGTTTTTTATTCCTAGGTTGCCAGCACAATGTAAACAACTGCCAGCTGACAATGACCGCGCATGCAGCGATTTGAAAGTAAAAGCAGATTCCCGCTGTATCCCTAAACAAGAATAGAAAACCTTTGTCGTGTCCCTCCAGTGGATTATCTGAGAGAGCCGACTGTGCGGAATGAAATGTTCCACCAGCAAGAAAAGGTATACAATTTATGAATAGGTTGGAAAGAAAGATAAACGCTCACAATTCAAGAGTGTTGTCTATGGCAACAAAGATCTCATTGCATCACCTATACAAGGGGAACAAAGCACATGGTCTACATCTCCACCACAAGACATGGTTTTGATGTCATAAGGAATTATGGGTACTTCATCACAGATTTTACACTGGATCAATATAGGATTTCATATTTTGCATTTTATCCATTTAAACATCTAAAAACATTTTTTTCTAAAGCAGAGTTAAAATTAAATAAAAAAAAGCAAAAAAATTATATCTTCCAAGAAAAAAAGCACACTCACTTTTCACGACCTTTGGCTCTTTTTTCAGATCTTTTTCAGAGTCATGTTTCTTCTTCGGTTTCTCTTTTCCTGTATCTGGCTTTCTGGCCTCTTTATCCTACAGAAATTGTGTGCTTATTAAAAAAATTTAGCAAAACAACTATTTTTATACGTTTATATTAACCCATTTCAGAGACACTGCTAGTAAATGATCTGGATGTAATAAATTAAGTAATATGTTATCTTTACCTTTACATTCCTAGCAATGTCTTCCTTTAACCTTTTGGCCCAATTTCAGCTTACCATAAATGCCAAATCGGAGGAATATTTTGTGATAACAAGTAATCAAATTATGCAATTTCATGTTAGCACGCACTGGCATAGTACAAAATTATGGTGAACTTTTTTTCTCCGCTGTTTAAACAGTGTTTGTGCCACTGATCTGTGACATCCTGGAAATGCATTGGCGCACAAATGCTGCACTGTTTAATGTGTATATCTGTACAGCTCTTTTATAGCTTTCTATGAGACACTGTGTAGCTCCAATTAACTTGTGAAAGTAAATTATTTTTATGAATGAATCTTCTGCCAGCAGTATTTGCCTAAAAGTCTATAGTTTTCAACAGAACACTGATAGCAACTACTTATATCAGTGTTTGTGTGTACGGGACATTTCTCCCACTGAACAAAATGGGAGAACAAGGGGCAACTGTCTGTTCCAGCAGATGTTACCATAGCAAGAGGGAATCTTGCATGTTAATTTCTAAGCTTCCCATTTCAATTCATTACCTTCACAAAAATATTTTAAAAAGTTGCCCCAAGTTGGTTAACAGAAAATAGGTTAGGTACAGGAATCAAGTTATACAATGTCTCTTTAAAAGTCAGGCATGCCAATTTTTTAAAGGCTCTTTAAATCAAGCCATATGTTGTCATAAGACCAGATCATAAAACCCATGCTTTTCATTCGTACACAATGATAGCATTTACAGAGATATCCAATCTTCATTACATTTTCCGACTCATTTATTGCAGAATTTTGTTAACTTCTTACCTCTACTGAAGTTTCCAGTGACCTCCGGGTCTTCTCCTCAGTGCTTGGTCTAGAGTTCTTTTGAATTGGAGCTGGGAGTTTCTCCACAGCAGGTGGCTCCTTCACCTTTTCAAAGACTTTTGGCTTCTTTGGAAGACTCTTTTTTTCCAGCTGGACCTCTTCAGTGGGTGTTGACTTTACTTCATCAACTCTATCGGTTTTTATTTTTTTGTGTTTCTTTTTCTTTTTTCGTTTCAATTTCGCATCATCAGATTCATCTTCCATACCATGTAGATCACTAGTCTTTTCAGGACTGGCCTCTCGACTTTTGTCCTCTGTGCCTTGACTGGTTTTTGCTTTCTCATCTGGTGCCTGGTCGATGCTCATATTTTCTGACACAGGATCTTGGGAAAACTCATCTGCTTGACTTGGTTGTTCGGATTCAATTGGTTTTTCCTTCTTGTGCTTTTTCTCTTTATGTTCTTCTTTGCCCTTCGTTTTGGAGTCTTTATTGTCTTCTTTCTTAGTTTTTTTTGATTCTTTAGAATCCTCCTTCTTTTGCTTTTTGTTGTTCAAATCTTCTTTGCCTTCGGATGTCCTTTTCTTTGGTTTAGGTTCTGGAGACTGGTTCTCTGCTGGCTCTGACTCGGATTTAGTTCTCTCTTTTGATTTTCCAGACTTTGCTTTCTTTGTCTTTAAATCATCCTTGTCATCATCCTCTTCATCTCTAGATTTTTTTTTCTTTTTGTGTGGTGATGCATCTTTTCTGGCTCCTTGTGGCTCACTGTCAGAATCTGCCTCGTAAACATCACTTAAAGATAATTTCTGCCATACAAACACAAAGTATGGATTTAGTCATATAAACAAATACGTCTGTGAAAGTAATACATTTTCAAAAACTTTGCAAAAGTTAGTTGTAGATCTTTCCTAAATGTTTCTAAAAGAAAATATTACATGCAATTTCATTTATTCATGTCCAATTTGCATTCAAAGGGCGTACAAGGAAGAGTGCTTAGGAATTAGTATGTTATTTATTTAGTTTATAATCAAGAATAGTGTTTAAGAAAAACAAAATGTAATCTGCATTGACAGGAACTTTAATATTTGGTCAACAGTGAATCTCCCAAATACAAGTGCAGCAGGTTATATATTTGCTGCTACTTATTTTTGGAGCACATGTCTCACGGACATCCGTAATTAGAAATTTATGACAGTTTAAAATATCAAAAAGTCCTGCATGTGTGTAATAATTGAAAACATAAAAATGTGGAGTTTTTTTTAATGTAGGGTAAAAAACAAAAACAAATTAATCTACACATCTTACATCTAAACCCATTTTGTATGACACGATGTTAATTTTGGGCAACAATGGCTTTGTTGGGTTTATCAATCATCACTATGTTTATGGTAAGACATTACAGCTTTGACTTGAGTGGATATTTTACACTTGACCTGTGAAGCCTTTTCAAACACTTAAGCTATACATTGTAAGTAAAACATTTAAATTATAGATTGATCCAACACTACAAGCACCATAACAAATACAATTGTAGTGGTTATGGTTCCAGGCGTCTCCTGATGTTCCCTATCTCAGGTGTATGTAGTCAAACCGTTCGAGAAAGTTCAACAAATCACCTGGGGTCCGGCTAGATCCCAACTCCACCTCCTCGAAAGCCAAAACCCAGAGCTTCCGTTAGCTCACGGAGATAAACCTTGCAGTGCACTCTGAACAGCTGGGTTTAGCTCAGTGGTAGGAGCTTTTGGGGGCAAAAGAAGCTGAGGACACCCAGTGGACCCCAGCTATGTTGTCACTGCAGTGAGTGTTCCCTTAAAAGATAAATATATAAAATATTTATTTTGGGTTCCATTCAGGGATATGTCTGGATGCCTACAGCAGGGGTGTAGAAACTAAAAATAAATAACTTGTCCAAAGGACTAAAGTGGAAAACCAATTTACTTGTCCTGAAACAAAATGTTAAAATTAGAAAGTTTGGGGACCAGGCTTACACCTGGACAATGGTAGGGTTATTCAATTTCCCAGATGAAATCTGAGAGAGAAAAAAAAAAAACCTGACACCAAAATAGCTTATCTAGAAAAATACACTAACTCAGCTAGTGTCATAACAGGCTATTTCCTCCATTCGGCATTAATGTGCAAAAATTTGAAGTTTAGTGTCTCTCCCTCTGTCCTCCCCCATAGTGTGTAAGTCGGCTATATGGAGTGGGTGAGTGTGTGGGCGCACGCTGGCTATGTGGTGTGTGTGTGTGTTGGCTACATGGTGTGTGTGTGCGCGTGTACTGGATCTCTTACGCTCACCAGTCATTAAGACAAATCTTTTGGGCTTCAATAGATTTGAGTACATGCCTCACGGACCTCAGATCTACACCTCAGCAATTCTGCTCCTCGCAGTTCTGGAGCTCACTGAGTCCGAGACCAGAGATTATGCGGGGAGTCCCAAGCTCTGCACTCTGACTCACAAGAGCATGCCGGAAAAGCGGATTGAGCTTCTTCTGAGAAAGAAGCGCTAACACTCCATACCTCAAACATTGTCCTCCCTCTTGCACCTAAACTCCTGGGTGTCTGGCGATACAAATCCCACATCCCAGGAATATCACAATACTATTAACAATAATGCTCAAATGTGTATATTGTGTGGTGAAAATGTTTACTAGTATCTGGAGCTCAGTATCTCAGCACGACTTTTAGGTGCCAGCACGGATTTATTTCCATGATGCAACTGAGCATCTTCATCCATAATGTAGTTAAAGTACATATACACCGAGGTATACTTTCCACAGTATCATATATCCTCCAAACAAGAAACATTAGTAGGGCCTGATGCCTTCACAGCATCAGATGGGCTGTAACCCCCAACAAAATGAAAATAGTAAAAACATTGGATAATTGTTACAGCTATTTGGTTATGTAATTTCCTTAGAAATATTTCTATGTATGTTATAATGTCAACCTGCAGCGCATAATTTCCCTTTATGCTAATGTCTGTCTGTAATGCATGATAATCCCTTTTAGCCTATTCTTTAACCAAATTATTGGGTTTCAACCATAAAAGGATTACATGGAATTATAGAGAGGTACTAAAAGAAACATGATTTAAAAGGCTAAAGTGCATTCATTTCGATCATTTGGAGTGATAATTACAGGTGTTTCCTTCTTGGCTGATTTCTGTTTACTTTCCGCTTGTTTGCGTTTAAATTCAAGAAGAACTTCTTTACAGTCATCCAGATGGGCCTCTGGCTCCCAGGTATCACCATCAGAATCATATCCCTTCCACCGGACACGATATAACGTTTCACCCTGCAAAAATAAAAGGATTACAAGTGACTTTATAGGTGGAAGAAATGAATTGCTGCACATTGCTGTTGTAGTAATTCAAAAAGCAAAACAAAAAATGTATTATTCAAGCCAAATTTCTATCGGAATTTTAGAACCTATTTCTGATTCTGCACATTGATGAAGAATATGTACATTTCAATCCCCCAAATAACCTTAAAAGTGCACAAGAGTGGAAATGTTAATATAAAAACACTCTCAAATGAGAGTCAGTCTTATATAAAACCCCCAAAAAATACATATAGCCAATCAAGCAAAATGCTATGAAATGCTGGGAGCATGCCCATGCAACACATGAAACACAAGTAGGGGGCGGGGCCTGGCTTGCAAACTGAATGGCTGCATGTGTAGTGTGCTCTGATAGAGAATCTGCAAAACCTTTACAAAACTCACCCAAGCTAGCCCCAAAACAGCAATCTGAACGCTGGATGCAGCCTACACGCAATCCTGCTTTAATCTAAAACCTAACTGAGGCAAGCCAAACAGATTAAAACTGAAACGCCACTGCGGCCTACCTGGGGGTGGGAGCGCGGGAGAAGCGGCCGATCTCCCCGCTTATCCTCCCACTGGAACAAGCTGAATCCGCACGGGATCCCGTTCCCCCCCTTGCCGGCGGGGATTACCCCAGCACCATCACCCCAGCTACACTCACTGGTCACCGATGGCCCTGTCGCCCGGCATGGGCTGAGAAGGGAGGCCTGTCCCCCTAGCCGACCTAAGATGGCGGATGCCGGGCCACCCACCATGCCACAAGACCCGGTAGCCTCGACCCTAGCTAAGCTGGACAAAATTCTGGAGGAATTCTGGCAGAGACTCGAGGAGCGGCAGCAGAGGAAAGTATGCCACACCACTCACCTCCTACACCTCAAAAGGTCAGTGTCAACCCACTCGGAGCGGATTGGTGTGGCACCCAGGCGGAGGAGGAAGCAAGCCCGGCGGTCAACTCCAGGGGTTAAGCCCGTCCGCAGGAACCCCCTGCGGAGACCCTCTTCCAAAATGAGACACCAACACCCCCACCAAGTCGCCTACGGCCTAAGACCCCGCAGTGAACGGAGCACCCTGACCTACCCAGGAGAGAACCTGTACACTGCGTGGAGAGCTGGCACTGATTGGAGACCGACGGAGGCGGTGGGGGCTGGAGTCCACAGAGGCTCAGCTCACAGAGACTGCGTGAAGTGGCCCAGTAGAGGCATTGGCTAAATCTCTGAGCCTCCGAGACTGGCGCTACCTACCTACCTGTTGCCGGACCAGCCACAACTGCCGACCACCCTTACCTTTCATATGGACGCATTCCAGACCCGCAGACCAGAGAGCCAGGTCGTGAAGGACTGGGGGACATACTTTGCCCCACAACTGGGTAGCGGGCTGATGATTGCCTCTATTTTAATGTTTAACAGTTATTATTTAGCAGGTTACTGCCCAGATAAAGTACGCTTTGTCTCCTAGGCCCCCATGGCCATCCATCAGCTTAATGCAGCCTATTAAGTCTCCCCAATAATTCAGACACGTAGCTTATACATATTGAGAATATATACAGCATTGCTGGTACAAACCATTGTAGCTACATAAGTAATGGTATATTAAGCACTCAACTACCGCCTGTATACTGGTGAGCCATCCTGAAACGCCTAATATCTTACTGCTAGCCTGAGCATTCATTCATTCCCTGCATAAAGTTACTCATGCTCTCAGTTACTACTACTAACAAGGTGCAGGGATGCTATATAACTATATAACTATAAATCTACGGAATAAGCATGACTACTATATATAAAAATGTGCACTTCTCTTATTTGCCATGACATTGTATAACGGTTTTGACTATGTTGGTTTGTTTTTCTGTCGTGGCATTGCAGACCAGTTTTGTAATTTTCTGCACGAAAAATAAAGAATAAAAAAAAAAAAAAAAAAACACAAGTAAAAACAGAAGCAGATAGGATAAGCCTGTTAATTATACACCGGCTAGCCATGAATGAGTTTTATTTAGCAGTGTGCATAGTGCAGCAAGCGTTCAAGCACTAACTAAACCTTCCTCATGGCTGGAGGGAACAAAATTAAGAAATACCATTAGTTATATTACAGCCTATACATGTCTTATATGGAAGGGAACAAGCAAAACAACGTTAAAATAACTCTCCAGAGCCCAAATCCAAAATAAAATAAAAATTGCTGCATAGCAGATATACCCCCAATGTAAACACACACTTAATTATGCATTTTTCACAGGACGTCTATTAAACCTGCTTGAAAAAGCTACAGATCTACTGTCTGAAACCTTTGCAAGCTATCCCCTTCTTCCCCAGCTCAGACTTTCTTTGGCTATCCAACCACAGACTTTCCAATGCTATTTAATGAGAAGTCTTTGCAAGACATGGGCAATTGTCTAAACTGTGAGGACAGCTTCACTGTGCTAAACTACCAGGACCAGTTGTCCAACAGCCAGTGGGGTGTAACAAGGTTAATTTATCTAAAAAAAAACACAACACTAAAAAAACCTCCATGTGCAATTTTCGATTGAAATCTGGACATAATCTTCACAAATTAAGCACGTCAGCATCTCAATATGGATATTGCTTGGTCTATACACATGCTATATATTGTATTGAGATATTGTTTGAGTATCTTTATACAACATGGAGCAAAATTATATAAACATTAAACACTTTTTTGGGGTTGGTTTAACAGTTAAAATAAACAAACAAAAACAAACTTATTGTTTAAATTTCATTACATTGCTATGATTTAAAACATATATGATGAACTATTTATATTGTGTACAGATTAAAAATTACTCTCTGCGTAACAACTAGGGAGAATATATATATATATAATATATATATTTATATTTCTGAATAGGCAACCTGACCTCTTTTCCAGGTTACACTCTCCAACCACTCTATACTCTTCCTGAGGTTATCTTAAAAAAGATGCAAAGGAGCTACTGGGTTGCTAGAATGTAACTCCCAACATCCTTGGGCAGAAAAAAAAAAAAAAAAATCACAAGACTAGTCTTATTTTATCAGTTGTCAGATACAGATTAAAGGAACACTAGACACCTAAATTACTTTAGCTAAATAAAGCAGTTTTAGTGTATAGATTATTCCCCTGCAATTTCACTGCTCAATTCACTGTCATTTAGGAGTTAAATTACTTTGTTTCTGTTTATGCAGCCCTAGCCACACCTGGCTATGATTGACAGGAGCTAGCTGCATGAAAAAAAACAAAACAAAAAAAAAAAAAACTGGTTTCACTTTCAAACAGATTTGTATTTCAATCTTTAAATTGAACTTTAATCACATACAGGAGGCTTTTACAGGGTCTAGCAAGCCTAAATAGGGCTCTCTTTACAGGAAGTGTTTATGGAAGGCTGTGCAAGTCACATGCAGGGAGGTGTGACTAGGGTTCATAAACAAAGGAATTTAACTCCTAAATGGCAAGGGATTGAGCAGTGAGGCTGCAGGGGCATGTTCTACACACCAAAACTGCTTCATTAAGCTAAAGTTGTTCAGGTGACTATAGTGTCCCTTTAACCCCTTAAGGACCAAACTTCTGGAATAAAAAGGAATCATGACATGTCACACGTCATGTGTCCTTAAGGGGTTAAAAACTAGATCTAGAATGCACTCCTACTAAAATGTAAGGAACACTCCAAGCACCATAACCACTACAGCATGCTGTAAATAGTTATAGTGCCAGGCATATCCTGACATATGCCAGAGTAAGTAGTCAAGCCATTTGCAAATAGTTTGACAACTTACATGGGGTCTACCAAGTGCCAGTCATCTTCTCCTCCCGGAGAGCCAGAAGCTCTCACCACGGAGCTATCCCAGCAAACCAAGGCTTAGCTCATTGGCTGAGAGCATTAAACTGACACTTTCAGCCAATCAACTGAGCCTGCACTGCAGGGATTAGCTCAGCAAATTGTGAAACGGTTTGCAAACGGCTTGACTACTAACCCAGGGACAATGCCAGAACCGGTACAGCAGGGTGTAATGGTTATGGAGCTTGAAGTGTTCCTTTAGACATCAAATTATAGAGAATGGAAAACCAAATTACAAAATTTAGGTAAAAAAAGAGCTGATCTGGAAACATTCTGCAGGTAATTGGGGTATTTTAAACTATATTTTGCAACTCTGATTTCATTAGACAATAGTTAATGCCTAGCAGGGAAAGACCAATGATCAGTTACTAGAGAGATTTATGATTATCAGTATCAGTCTTGTGACTAAGTTATCTGTAATATCATTAAATGACATCTCCTAGTTACTGCGGGCCGTCTTTGTACCCGGAAACTCCAGCTGCCAGTCAATAAGGTACCACATCATTACCTTATCCCTTCGAGTTACTGCATGCAGAGCCCAGCTGAAGGCAGGGAGGTGAGACTGTGCATAACCTACTGGGCTGGCTGACAGTGATAGGAGTGTCACTCCTATCAGGAACAGCTATGTAAATGCTGTGATCTCACCAATCCCAGCATGTACTGGATGCCTGAGAGTCTTAGGAGTATGATAGGTGTCATCGTGTCCAGTTAATGCCAGATTTGTGTAAAAATTGTGCTACTGCTATGTTTATACTGTGAAACTGCTATGTTTATAATAGAGTTAATCTAGCCTCTAAAGCCTCTAGTGGCTGTCTCACTGATAGCCGCTAGAGGCGTTTGCGTGCTTCTCACTGTGAAAATCACAGTGAGAAGTCACAAGCGTCCATAGGAAAGCATTATGAACGCTTTCCTATGAGACTGGCTGAATGCACGCGCAGCCCCTGCCGCGCATGCGCATTCAGCCGAAGAGGAGGAGGAGAGCTCCCCGCCCGGCGCTGGAAAAAAAAAATGTAAGATTTAACCCTTTCCTCGCCATCCAGCCCGGCAGGAGTGGGACCCTGACGGTGGGGGCACCCACAGGGCACTATAGTGCCAGGAAAACGAGTATGTTTCCTGGCACTATAGAGGCCCTTTAAGACAGGGTTGAAATACAAAGAACTAATATTTTCACAGCAGTAAATAGCAGCTCACACACTAGCCGAGTCATGTGAGCGACTGACAGCTTTACGCTCCAGCTTGTACACACCAGACTCTGCACAAAAGCAGATTAGCATACTTTGATGTCATCGAAGAGAGCAGGGAGGAAGATTAAATATATTCATCTTTTAAAAGTAAAGTGTTCTGCATCAAAAGTCTCTGCATTTGTGTGGGTGACATACAGCCAAATCATGGTCCTTTACAGTGGTGGTCAGATCACAAATAAAGTTATTACTTTTGCTCAATGCTAAGGAACCAGATGATGACAGCTGCTAAGAGAGCCCATGAAATGTACGTGCGGTGTGTTTTGACAGGCAGCCAACAACACAACCACAAATATAAATATGGGCAAACTACACAAAGTTTTACATCAGTCAGTAATTAAACGGAATACTCAGTGATATGAACTGGAATCTGTATGTGCAGCATTTCATTATAAAACTCTGCACATACATAGTTTAACGTCATTGATGCCATTTCTGGCAGCGTCGACAGAGCGTCAGTGAGAACGGAAAAAAGAGGTCCAGGCTGGTTGTCAATTGTGTGTATATGGGATATTTGTCATCACGCACAGCATGTGTACGTTTTAGATTTATTTTATCTTTGTAACTTTTATGGGGAGGGGCAAGGGTTACTTCACCCAAAAATCGGGTTTTATTTAAATTTGGATTTTTCTTAAGGGTTGGAGTAACCCTTTAACATCTTAAAATTCAAAGTAACATTTAACAGACGTTTATATTACTTTATTGTGAAAACGGTTAAAAGCAGTTTGTGCTCTTAACCAACAATGCATTTAAATTAACAGTTTAGTTACAAAATAAACAAATATAGAAAACACCTTCATAAAAAATCTATGACCTCTCCAGCTGTTGTATGCAGCTGTACCGTGCAACACAAAATGTAATAATAGAGGGTCATGTAACACTCCAGGAATAACAAGGAGTACAAAAGCTACGGTGCAGAAGTGGCCAACATTTGGCACCTTAGCTATTGTGTACTACAGTCACAATGACACTGTCCGCAATTCTGGGGGCATAGGGTTCATCTGCAATACTACAGAGGAACAAGACTCTTACCAAATTACTCACTATATTGGGATTTTTAAAATTAAAAGGTCAAAATTACGGTAATTGAAAAATTCACCAACTTAGCTTAGTTTGTTGTGAACCTTATATCGCTTTAGATAAACCCATATATTGCTTTAAATAATAAGGCCACAAAGCAAAAAAAAAATGAAACAATTCTTAAACATTTTATAAGTACAAGGATGGAAAATGTTAATTTATTTCACAAACCATGTACATGTAATTCAAAATAAACGAAACAATAAACACTATCACGTGTGCAATGTCAAAATATGGGGATACTCAAAGACAGAGAAATAAAGGACTATCCATATTTTTTTGCAACTAGTCTAGCTTTAGATACAAAGAGGGACTACAAGTAGTTAATATAACCAAGGCAACTCCCTGCTCTCTGATGTCACTGTCTGACCTGCAAATATTCTCTTCTCCCCCTTCACTTATCTGTATTGGTTCACTGATAAAAGAGGGGGTGGGAAAAAAGGATGTGTGGACCAATAGCGAAATACAAAATCCATCTGCAAAAATAAAAATCCCAGATCAGGCAAATGTGCACACTGATTAATGGCAGGCTGGCTCCCGGCTAGACTATGTGGGGATTACTCTCAAACCATCTCCCAGGATGATGACAGATATTGCAACTAATCCCAGTTTTGCAGCCTGCTCCCGACTTAACTGCACAGATCAACCCCATGACTCCCAGAGGTCATTTTGCTCCACCATGGCTTTAAAAAAAAAAAAAAAAAAATGTGAGGCAGACTGTGGCAGCCCATAGTGACCTCCAGGGGGGGAGTGGGTCACTTACTTTAGTGAAAGGACAGCAAAATAAACAATGCTTTCCTGGACACATTTTATGATTTATATATAGCGCCATCAGATTCCGTAGCGCTGTACGACATATCGTAAAGACGCATGCTTATGAACAGTACATGAAAAGGATTGCCTTGCAGTATGCCGCAGCAGGAAGGCCATCTCATGAATGAATAAAGGAGGATTCCTGAGTGGAACTGACAAGGTTAGCTCTTTTATGTCCTTCCTGTAGCATATGAATGCTGCCCACTGCATGTCAGCACTTTTAATGTGCAGTCCATGACAACAAGGTGTTTGTGGCTAAGCCCTAGCAAGGGGGGAGGGGGAGGTTGTGCACTGCATCTCCCATAATGCTCTTACAGCTAGAATGCTGGCAAAGCATCATGAGAGCTGTAGTCCAAACCATCTGGAGTGCCAAAGGTTAGCAGCCATGGACAGCCAGCCTTGGCACTCTCAGCTGGTGTGGACTACAAGTCCCATGATGCTCAGCCATTAGTGAGTGTAGGAGGTCTTATTACAGTAGGGGTACAGAGGGGGAGTGCGGTAGGGGTACAGAGGGGGAGTGCGGTAGGGGTACAGGGGGAGTGCAGTAGAAGAGGTACAGAGGGGAGTGCGGTAGGGGTATATAGGAGGAGTGCGGTAGAAAGGTATATAGGGGAGTGCAGTAGGGGTATAGGGGAGTGCGGTAGGGGTATAGAGGGGGAGTGCGGTAGGGGTATAGAGGGGGAGTGCGGTAGGGGTATAGAGGGGGAGTGCAGTAGGGGTATAGAGGAGGAGTGCAGTAGGGGTATAGAGGGGGAGTGCAGTAGGGGTATATAGGAGGAGTGCAGTAGGGGTATATAGGAGGAGTGCAGTAGGGGTATATAGGAGGAGTGCAGTAGGGGTATATAGGAGGAGTGCAGTAGGGGTATATAGGAGGAGTGCAGTAGGGGTATATAGGGGGAGTGCAGTAGGGGTATATAGGAGGAGTGCAGTAGGGGTATATAGGAGGAGTGCAGTAGGGGTATAGAGGGGGAGTGCAGTAGGGGTATATAGGGGGAGTGCAGTAGGGGTATATAGGAGGAGTGCAGTAGGGGTATATAGGAGTGCAGTAGGGGGGCTCCCTTCACTCACCTCCTCTATCTTGGAGTCCAGGATACTCTCCACCTCGAACACGTCCTCCTCGTCCTCGCTCTCCCCAGCCTCAGCCCGGGACCCCCCACCGTCCTCAGGCGCTGCCGTGCCCGCCGACTCGCTCTCCTTGGTGTCCGTCTCCATGCTGTCTCCGCCTGTGCCGCCGTCACGTTCTGCAGTATCCGCCATGACGCCTCGGGAACCTGGAGAGACAACGGGGAAAATCCTCCTGCGCCACACACACCTCCCGAGAACGTCCCAGAGGGACTGGCGGCTCGGCCAATCAGCGGGCCCTGGTGGGGCAGCGGAAGCTCCCCGAGCAGCCAATCAGAGGAGGCAGACGGGGGGAACGTTCGGGTGCCAGGGCCCGCGAGGCGCGGCGGTTGGCTGCGCGAGAACTATTGACAAGACGAGTTTGACCAATCAAAGTGTGCCGTCGCTAAGGGCGGGACGCTTTTTTTTTTTTTTCTTAAAGGTAATTTCAGGCAATGCGTGACCAAGTGGCAGGACCTGCGCATGCGTGAAGAGCAAGTGAGCAAGCGTCGCCATTTTTACTGAGGGAAGAATTTTACTAGATTTACATTGACTGCTGTATGTTGACACAGTTATTCACAAGTGACTAGAGAGACCAGAAGGATTTATTCATTACACAAGACAGTGTAGTGAAAGGAAAAATAAATGGCAAAATTTAGGCTATAATAGCAAAACTGTCAGGATTACTCACTAATATGGCAATTCTGCAAAGTGAATCTGACATGTACTTCGCAGTTTTGGTCAAAATTGTCAAAATGAAACATGTCTGACTTGGAGAATGTTTTCAGTTCTGTTATTGTGGCCTAAAAATTCTAATACATGTTCAGATATTCACTAAAGCTTAATTAGAAAAAAATAAAAAGCATAAACTAAAAAGTGAATTTCAAATTTAAGGCCAAAATAGGCAAACTGAAAAGAGAATTGACTTTATTATTATTATTATTTTTTATTATTATATAAATAATAACATAATAATAATAAAGTCAATTCTCTTTTCAGTTTGCCTATTTTGGCCTTAAATTTGAAATTCACTTTGTAGTTCCCGGCAGTTATAACTTTATTGAATAATCCGGTTTTAATTCGGGATAGTCCACAAGTTAGTGAAAACGGAGTAGCGGTATACATTTTGCAACAATTTTTATCAATTTCTTATTTTAGTGAAACCTAGAACATCCAAAACTCAAGGTCAGATTTAGGGTACTTAGGCTCCAAGTTTTCAAACCCCTCCATTTTAGGTATTGATTTCTATTACTTGGAGACAGATATATGTGCTGAAGTGAGGGTCTCAATTTTTTTATTTTTTTTTCAATATGTGTATTTCATTTTTTATTGTAGCATGCAAGCTAAAATACAGCCAAAGACTTAAAATAATGACTTTCCGTTCCCCGTTAGCTGGGATCAGAAGCTTTGACAGGACTGTTGCTGAGCTTGCCTTTTGATAGAGAGCCTGAATTTTAGAGAGATCCCATTTCGAAGAAATAGATTTCCCATGCTGTAATCGGGACGAATAAGGTAAGTCCCAGGACTGTAATCGGGTAATAAGGTAAGTCCCAGGACTTGGACTAACTGGTTGAATCCTGACATCACCTCCAGTGAACTTACCTACAGTATATACTCGAGTATAAGTCTAGTTTTTCAGCACATTTTTTGTGCTTAAAAACCCCACTCGACTTATACTCGAGTCACTGTCTGTATTATGGCAATTTAGAGAGCCGCGGCCGTCAGAGCCGTGGCAACAATCCGCGCGGCAACCAGACCGCGAGACTTACAGTGGAGCTGACCGGAACGGAGGAGAAGGCAGCTGACAGGAGCTGCAGGAAAGGTAAGTAAATGCTTCCTGCCGGCCCCCCACTTCACAGCCCATGCCACTGGACCACCGGGGATTAAGATAGCCCCCCTCCCTGACCGTTTAACAAGCAGGGAGGGGGGACAAATTTTTTTTTAAATAATAAAATAATATTAAAATTAAAAAAATTAAAATAATAAAAATGCCCTCCCCCCACCCAGTTCACACACTACACAAACTCTTCATTATATACACACTCTGCATTATATACACAGAGTGTGTGTATATAATGCAGTGTGTGTTTGTATGAGTGTGTGTGTGTATATATAATGCAGTGTGTGTTTGTATGAGTGTGTGTGTATATATAATGCAGAGTGTGTGTTTGTATGTGTGTGTGTGTATATATAATGCAGAGTGTGTGTTTGTATGAGTGTGTGTGTATATAATTATAAAAATCACAGAATTTCATAGCCCCAAGTTTTACCCTCGACTTATCCACGAGGCATAGCATATTTCACAATTGTTGGTCACAAAACTGCACTCGACTTATACATGAGATCGACTTATACACGAGTATATATGGTACCTTATATTCAGACTTCTCACAACACCACTCCAAGACCAACGGCATAGACTAGTGCAAGCCAAAATACTACAAATGGACTAGCCAAGCCAATGGAGATCTCATGGATGTCCCCGAATCCATCATGCCATCTGTACCAAAAAGCCTAATCTCGAACCTCTCGACGGAAATCCGGCAAACGACTTCAGAAGTAAATGACCAGGGACATGGCTGCTCACTCCCTGTCTAAAGTATGATTGGACAATATCAGGTCATTTAATTATGTTATATATTATTTATTTATAAAATATTTTACCAGGAAAGATACATTGAGATTTCTCTCGTTTTCAAGTATGTCCTGGGTCCATAAATCATTGCATTGTTACATTAGGGTACAACAAAATACAAAAATCAATATTAATACACAATATATACAAAATTTAACATAGAACAGGCAGGAAATATATAATCAACCCTGACACGTGCATATATGTAACTGTCTATACCCAAAGACATTGGGGATACTTACCATTTGCCCTTTAAACTCTTGATGGTCTTATTACACCTCTGAGTTAGCTTCCTAGTGCCTAGCGGTCCTAACGAACAAAGCAGACCACACTCACATACACCCCGGGGTACCCATGATGACTTCACAAAAGGCTATAGATTCAACCCTGTGACTTACTATCCTCACCTTTTCCACCAGTTCTAGAACAAGAACTAAAATGATTTTATAAAAAAAGGGGGGGGGGGACCTGTTTTCGCACCCCATAAACCTCCCTCCCCCTTCCTCATATGTCTTGAGTATCCACCACAGTTTTGGAGCTAACAGAATTTCACTCCATTACCTCGATCTCACTTTAACCTCAATTCAAGGATTTACACCTGTACGCCCACACCTTCCAACATCACTCAATTCACACACTCTACACTAACCCCCACATTAAAGAACTCAACCAAACACACACTCACACGCCCACTCACCCCACATACTCTACTGGTCGCTCAGTAAACATGCAGCCTCCACACCTTAGTTAACTGGTCCCTTTTCTACCGATTTGCCTTTTCAAAACGTACCAACCTGTTCCCTGTAGACTCAGATAAATCTCAGGGATCGACACCAGCACTTTTTGTATAAGACTCTAACCTCTTAGCATAATCAAGAAAGGCATTTGATTGTTTGCTATTGTATTGTATATAGCTACTGTTATTGTTGTATATTTGTTTCTAATCCTACAGAGTTGTATTTGCAGTTCTCTCTCTACTCTCTACCAACTCCTGGTAACTGCTGTCCAGGCTGAAATGAAAGACACATACCCCAATCCCAACATAATCACCTATAGCTGAGGTACGAGTAATCTTGTTAAAAGTAAGACGTAAACTCTCCAGAGAAGAGATGTATGGTGCTAACCGAATTTCACCACCTCAAAGCGGAGGTGGTCTTTCTCCAAGAGACCAATTTCTGCAAAGACTCAGCAACCAACTGTCAGGAACTGCTCTGCTCTGTTCTGTTGTCTGACCATAGCTTCTGGTATCCAGTACTCTTTTTACAATTCTTGTTTAGTTTTTCTTGTTTTTTTTCTGGTTTTCTATTCCGTGTCTGGTTTTCTTTATTCTGGGTTTCTGGGTTCATTCCTTTATTCCGTTCCTGGAATTCCCAGTCTCCTGGATTCCTTTATATGTTTGTTTTATGTTGCCACACCCGTTCCTTTTCCATTAATCCTTTTGTTTCAGTTGGGTCCTGCAGGCAGTTGTTTCATGTCCTCTGCACCTTTCTTTGCAGGTAAGTACTGTGTGTGTTTTATTGTTGTTTATTTAGTCATGCATATATAGGCAGTTAGGACCCACCGTACTTGGAGTACTTTGGCGCAGTGGTGGGCTGCATACATCTTGGCCATTTATGTATATCTAAATCTCCAATGTTTTACATATATAGTACTTAGTTATGTCTCGTCTTGTTTTATTTTGTATTCCCAGTGCATGTACAGTCCTGTCCTGTCCTACCCCTGTTCTGTTAATGTTTCCCTTATGTATTGTGTACATGTTCTGGATTCTGCTTTCTATCCTTCTCCGGTTCTGGGGTCTTCTAGTTTTGTCTTGTTTTCTTGTTTGGTGCCTATTCTAGTCTATCGTGTTTCTAGTACTGGATATATATCAGCATTTATCTGCTCTGGCTCCCGCTAAGCTGCATCAGGGTCTTGGTAAGTGGCTGTACAAACGCTGGTGCTCAGCACCAGGGGGCACGTGGTTACCATGCACCAGGCCCTACTTATCCACTTCCACGCTGAAGACTCCTCTTATCATCTACATCAGGCACAGGGGTCCTGGTCTTCGGACCGCCACCCTGACACCAGCCTCAGGGACAGGCATTACCGCTTAGGTTATTTCAATAATTATAACGCATCCAAATCCCAGGGGGTAACTTGCCAACTTGCCTTTTACTTTTAAGGAACACCAGGCTGACGATAACCGCAGGTAATTGTTTGTGATGGGGTTGGTGGGTAACACAGTGGTGACCCTCGCAAACCTTTATCTGCCCAATCGAAAACAGTACTACTCCCTATGCAAAATTCTCAACATTTTATAACAATTCACAGAGGGTCTACTGCTCATGCTCTCTGCATTCCACGTCCAACACACACACGTACCAGAATTCCACACGCAAACAAATGCAAACATTTCTGGACACAACCCAACTGTTTGACTGCTGGCGAACACTACACCCCTCAATCAGAGATTACTCCTTCTATTCACACTCCACTGGCTCATACACGAGAATAGATGTGTTTTTGTTACCCCACCATTTCCTCCATTTGTTCACCCACTGCTCTTATGGTTCAATAACCTGGTCAGACCATGCACCCCTGTCTCTTGCCATTCGAATCCCATCCCTCCACCCCTCTGGGGCCCAATGGAAATTGAATGACACTTTACTAAATCATAAAGAGTGTCAAAACATCCTCCTCTCGGGACTAATCCACTCTGACCAGGCCGGGTTCATACCTGGAAGAGAGGCCAAGAACAATACTACAAAAATACTAAACCTCATACACCTCTCCAAATATAACCACACTCCAACTCTATTATTATCTATAGATACCGAAAAGGCATTTGACAGGATGGATTGGTCCCTAATGCTTGCTACACTGGAGCAGATGGGTTTCGGCTTAAATTTGCTCCGTTGGATGGGCACTTTACTCCAAACCGACAGCGAGGCTACGTATTAATGGCCAACTGCCGACTCAAGTTCAAATTTCCAACGGCACGAGACAAGGGTGCCACCTCTCCCCCTCCTCTTTGTTTTGGTTCTAGAACCCTTCCTCCGAGGAGTAAGAGATAACCCACATATAAAGGGTTTCCAAACAGGGGGAGGTTAAACACAGAGTGTCTGCTTTCGCAGATGACATGTTATTCACCGTCACAGAACCCATACACTCTCTACCTTACATACTCCAGGAAATTGCCACCTACAGCAAGGTCTCTAATTTCCAAGCAAACTTGAGTAAATGTGATATTTTGCCATTAAACATTTTAGACTCAGTGAAAACACAGCTACTATCATCATATTCATTCACATAGACCAAAATATCCATCAAATACTTGGGGTATCCCTCCCTTCTTCACTGACGCAAATATACGAGTGCAACTTCCCTGCTCTAATCCAAGCGATCTCCAAAGACCTCACATCCTGGCACCACCCCCATTTTGGATGGTTTTGTAGAATGAATACCTACTCCAGATACTCCCAATTACTCTCCCAAAATTATTCTTCAACACAAAACGCAAATTATTCACTGCATTCATCTGGTCCCACAAATGCCTGAGATTGTCATACACGCTACTAACCAGGCCAAAGACTGATGGAGGCCTAGGATTAACAAATGTGGAAACATACCATAACGTGGTACTCCTAGCCAGAATATATGACTGGACAGACACTAACACGAGCAAGCAATGGATCACAATAGAGAACACATTCTTTTGGGTCCCCATCTACATGAACCCATGGCACAAATCAGGGCAAGCACTTCTCAAACACTCGCAACTCCCCACCATAACCCCTACCCTGAGATTGTGGTCACATATCAGACATCACACAGATGTACCCCCATATGCTTCTCCACTCTACCCGGTCTCACACAACCCACTTTTTAAACCAGGTGAATCCGAAACAACTTACAAGGAATACCACACTACCCCCTACTTAGCCCTGAACACCCTCATAGACGACAAAGGGATTAAACCACTGGACATACTACTCCCAGACAGGACCCACACGCCACTACAAAAGTTCCAATAGAACCAACTCACTCACTTTCTACAGGATGTACAATACCCTCAAAAAGGCAACTGCGCTCTTTCACATTTCAAAAGTACCTGCTCCCTACATAAACTTAAAAGAAAAAAGGTATCCATCATGAACTCCATAATACAAAACACGCAACCAAAACATTTCCCTGCTGTTCAGATCTAGCTGGGAAAATAACTTAAACTTATTTCTATCAGACAAGAACTGGAGACAGGTCTATCTACTGATACACAAATCCTCAGTAAACCTGGCCACACTAGAGAGCAACTATAAGAGAATAGTGAGATGGCATTACACCCCAACCAAACTTAAGAAGCTGTTCCCAAATTCCCAAAGCCAATGTTGGAGAAGCCACCAACCAAACGGTGACTCAGCCCACATTTGGTGGACATGCCTGGTAATCCAAAAACTGTGGTCTAGACTTATCCACACCATTATAGGAGTGCACTTACCACTTACACCTGACACCTTCCCCTTCCACCTACTACCATCTCCTCTACCAAACGCCACGACCTCCCTAATCAGACACCTGCTCACTGCAGTGAACCAACTTATCCCAATCCACT